TGGTTAGCGCCACACTGCGCTACGAACCCGGCGACCCGAGTTCGATTCCTGCCCATGGCCACCAACGCCGGTGGCAACGATCATCTGAAGCGGTCCTCGGCCTCCCCTAGGTCGACTCAGCCTCGAACGAGAACCATGATGTAGCGATGCGTGGTAAACATCGCCGCTGGGGGAAGCAAAGGTGGCCGGGCGTGGTGCTGGCCACCCCCCGCCCCTCTGCGTGTGCCACAGTGCCGATGGCCTTCCTAGGTGCTGCTTGCGAACAGCACTTACCCCAACAGTCCGTTCAGGTTTAACGTGCGGTGGCTTTCGCGGCCGGTATCATCGACAACAAAGGCGTTTTACGTTAGATCGCGTAAATGTATCGTTAATTTCGTAATCGTTGAGGCTCTGCTCTGCAACACACTACCGGCGTGGTGCCGTAGCAGGTGACGAATTGGCCACGCACGTTCTGTTCACGTGGCAGACCCCTCGCCGATTGGCTGTGCCAGGCGGTGGCGGGTTGAACGACACAACATTTACGTACGTACGCGATCTACACACCAAAAAAACTGTGGTATCATGGAGTCTGATCAGGCTATATGTGGGGGGGGGTCTTTCTCTGTATACACAGTGTGAGTGCAGGTGTGTTGTTGTGCGTGTGTATGTGTAGATTGGTTTGTAATGTACAGCATTGGGCAACGCTGCGTGCGTGGGCTTTGTACCCTGAAGACTAATTCCAATCCGGGGGATGATTTCGTCCGAAAATAACTTAAATTATTACACGGCCACCAACCCACACACACGCCAAGCAAAAAAACGACAAATATCCCCCGTGTAGCCTTCGGCAGACTGTTTGGGGCAAGTGCTGTTAGCGAGCAGCGCCTATGAAGGCCGGCACGGCACACGAGGAAGTGGTTGGCCGGCACCACGCCCGGCCGCCTTTGTCTCCCCAGTGGCGATGTCAACTACACCGCTACACCAGGTACTCATTTCAGGCCGAGTCGACCTAGGGGAGGAGGCCCAGGGATCTGTTCAGATAAATGGCCATCACCGCCGGTGTTGGTGTAAAGCCGTGAGCGGGAATCAAACTGGGGTCTCTGCAAGGGTCGTGGCGGTAACCGATGCACCACCGCACCCCTACGCTCGTCACGCACTCAAAGTGTCATTCCACACTCCAATAGACCCACGGACCAACACAGACTCGCGTAGAGACCCATAGACTCACGCAGAGACCCACAGACTCACGCAGAGACCCACAGACTCACGCAGAGCCCCACAGACTCGCGCAGAGCCCCACAGACTCATCACACAGACCAACACAGACTCGCGCAGAGACCCACAGACTCACGCAGAGACCCACAGACTCACGCAGAGCCCCACAGACTCGCGCAGAGCCCCACAGACTCATCACACAGACCAACACAGACTCGCGCAGAGACCCACAGACTTGCGCAGAAAACCACAGACTCACGCAGACCCACAGACTCACGCAGAGACCCACAGACTATCATGGAGACCCACAGACTAAACTATTTTAATTTTCTCTTTTTCATAAGCGATCTGGCCCTCACAAATGATCGCAGCTCAACCAAGTGGCCGCTTATCATCATCATCATCACGTGGAAATGCATAGCAGCAAGCAAAATACGCTGTGACGTCGGTTTTAAACGAGGGGAAAAAACGGAGGAAAAAAGAGAAAAATACACGAGACTACGGAGAGACATCAGGGTCTGGATCGAACCCACGACCTCCTGCGCACCAGGTGAGGTAGTTAACATCTCCTAGCCACCGTGACGTCAGGGTCGGGATCGAACCCACGACCTCCTGCGCACCAGGTGAGTAGACACTACACACACTACGGGAGTGCTGTACTAGTCGCGAATTGCCCACGCTGTGTCACGTAACACAAACCCCCATCACTAACTGGCTGTGTGTCCGGTGGTGGCGGCGGAGGTGGTGTTGGTGGTGGCGGTGTTTGTGGTGTTGGTGGTGGCGGTGGCTGTGTTGATGGTGGTGTTGGTGGTGGCGGTGTTTGTGGTGGCGGCGTTGGTGGTGGCGGCGTTGGCGGTGGCGGTAACGGTGTTGGTGACGGCGGCGGTGTTTGTGGTGATGGCGGCGTTGGTGGTGGCGGCGTTGGTGGTGGCGGTGTTCAACCGACAACGCGTTTCACGTTCACTCGGTTGGACCCAGCACAAAAAAAAAACCCCCATCACGGGTCAACACAGCCTTCGGAGCGGATTTGCCGGACCGGCGCAATCGACGACGACGATCAGCCGCATGTACACCTTTGTTGTGGTGGTGGTGGTGGTTATTCTTAGAGTGGGGGCTTCGTTGAAACGAGGTGTGAGGAGGGGGGTGGGGTGCATCGCCTGACCCCCACAATCTTTATTTAACCAGCCAGCTTTGTACCACGTGCCTCTCTCTCTCTGCCTCTTTCAAATCTGTCAACCCCTCAGACCAACTCAGAGCTTATTGGTCCACCCCATGCCCCCCTTATAAATCTCAACGTTCATCCTACAAAGTCCCATCACAAGGGAGACACACAAAACAAAAAGACAACATTCTTTGTTGTGTCGGTATTGAAACGGCTGTACGCCGTATGGATCTGAAAACTCACTTCCCTGTACAAGAATACGGGGAAAACCGTATGGGTTGACATGTGGGTGAGTGTGTATAGGTGGGTGAGTGGGTGAATGACTGTTTTTGTGAGTGTCTGTATGTGGGTGAGTGGGCGAGTGAGTGGGCGAGTGAATGAGTGGGTTGGTCTATGTGGGTGATTGGGTGAGTACGTGGGTGGGTGTTTTAGTGAGAGTGTGAGTGGATGAGTGAATGAGTGGGTGGGTGGGTGAGTGGGTGAATGAGTGTTTTTGTGAGTGTCTCTATGTGGGTGAGTAGGCGAGTGTCTGTATGTGGGTGAGTGGGTGGGTGAGTGGGTGTTTTAGTGAAAGTGTGAGTGGGTGGGTGAGCGAGTGGGTGTGTGGTAAGGTGAGTGGGTGTGTGGTAAGGTGAGTGGATAAGTGTGGCTAACTGCGTGGGTGTAGGTGAGTGGGAAGACAAAGGCGGCCGGGCAGGCATGATCCCTGGCCTCCCACCCCCTCGTGTTGCCACAGTGCAGTGACCTTCATAGGCGCTGCTGCTACTCGCTACGAACAGCCAATTGCCCCAACAGTCTGTTACAGGCTACAAGCGGGGGGGTGGTCTCTGTCTCGGTATAAACGCAAAGCAGCCACTGGACGGCTACGAGAGTGGGAAGCGGTGCTAGTAGAGATATGCTGCTGTGGAGGAGGCTCGTGAAGGACGCTGCTGCTACTGGGCAGTTGGAGGCAGTCGCCCTCCAACAACAACGGAGGGCAGAGAGGAGCGACGCTGAAAACAACGAGCGGAGCGCCGGGCGGCTGAAACGCAGCAAGTTGGCACAGTAGGGGGTCACAGGTGGTGCATCGGCCACTCATCTCAGTCAGTCGACCCCGTGGCACCTGCTGGGTCCGTCACGTGACCTCCGGTCCGTGAGCCTTCGACACTTAAGATGGCCTCAAAGTGCACATGGCCTGGCACGAGCGTCGTGGCGACGTCGCCGCCACTTAGTGGCGAATGGCGGTTGTTGTTATTGATGATGATAGAGATGATGGTGGTGGAAATGGTGGCGGAGATGATGATAGCCGGTGGTGATGATTATATGTGACCGTGTGCTATTTGTATCATTGTGTCTGTGTGTTTATCTGTGTGCCTGTTCGTGTGGTCATATAGCAGTTCGTGTACTGTTGCTGCTGCACATTTGGAGTCTGCGTCTCTCTCTCTCCGTGGTCGCGTGGATTTTTATCGGGGTCCTCCGGTTTTCCCTCCACGTTTAAAGACGTTCGTTTAGAGTGTTTGGTTGCTGCGATACATTTTCACGTGATGATGATGATGAGACACTTTGTTGAGCTGTCATTTGTGATGGCCACCAGGTCGCTTCTGAAAGAGCTACACAGCACCTCAGTGGGGCCTTACACCTTGGTAAAATAAAAAAACATTGTTGCGATTGTTAAATCGTCTCCCTCCCCGCGTCTCCCTCCCCGCGTCTCCCTCCCCGCGTCTCCCTCCCCGCGTCTCCCTCCCCGCGTCTCCCTCCCCGCGTCTCCCTCCCCGCGTCTCCCTCCCCGCGTCTCCCTCCCCGCGTCTCCCTCCCCGCGTCTCCCTCCCCGCGTCTCCCTCCCCGCGTCTCCCTCCCCGCGTCTCCCTCCCCGCGTCTCCCTCCCCGCGTCTCCCTCCCCGCGTCTCCCTCCCCGCGTCTCCCTCCCCGCGTCTCCCTCCCCGCGTCTCCCTCCCCGCGTCTCCCTCCCCGCGTCTCCCTCCCCGCGTCTCCCTCCCCGCGTCTCCCTCCCCGCGTCTCCCTCCCCGCGTCTCCCTCCCCGCGTCTCCCTCCCCGCGTCTCCCTCCCCGCGTCTCCCTCCCCGCGTCTCCCTCCCCGCGTCTCCCTCCCCGCGTCTCCCTCCCCGCGTCTCCCTCCCCGCGTCTCCCTCCCCGCGTCTCCCTCCCCGCGTCTCCCTCCCCGCGTCTCCCTCCCCGCGTCTCCCTCCCCGCGTCTCCCTCCCCGCGTCTCCCTCCCCGCGTCTCCCTCCCCGCGTCTCCCTCCCCGCGTCTCCCTCCCCGCGTCTCCCTCCCCGCGTCTCCCTCCCCGCGTCTCCCTCCCCGCGTCTCCCTCCCCGCGTCTCCCTCCCCGCGTCTCCCTCCCCGCGTCTCCCTCCCCGCGTCTCCCTCCCCGCGTCTCCCTCCCCGCGTCTCCCTCCCCGCGTCTCCCTCCCCGCGTCTCCCTCCCCGCGTCTCCCTCCCCGCGTCTCCCTCCCCGCGTCTCCCTCCCCGCGTCTCCCTCCCCGCGTCTCCCTCCCCGCGTCTCCCTCCCCGCGTCTTCCTCCCCGCGTCTCCCTCCCCGCGTCTCCCTCCCCGCGTCTCCCTCCCCGCGTCTCCCTCCCCGCGTCTCCCTCCCCGCGTCTCCCTCCCCGCGTCTCCCTCCCCGCGTCTCCCTCCCCGCGTCTCACCTGGGGATTTGTCTCAGGTCTCCGCTCTCCGAGTCTCCGCTGAACCAGATCTCCAGGAGCTTCTCAGTCCCCTCGAAGAAGTGGCTGCCATCACCTCCTCCTCCTCCATCACAGTCACCTCCTCCTCCTCCTCCCGCGTGATGGTGATGGGAAGGCGTGGGAGCGGGGGGAGCGGGGCTAACCTCGTGATGTTCCTGCATGCTGATGATGGTGGTGGTAGTGCTGGCGATGTGATACCGATGCCCTACCGATGGTGTTGTTGATGATGGTGGTATCGTTGGTGATGTGATAGCAATGCCCTACCGATGATGTTGATGATGGTAGTGCTGGTGATGTGATAGCAATGTCCTACCAATGGTGTTGATGACGGTGTTGATGATGGTGATGTGATCCCGATGCCCTACCGATGGTGTTGATGATGGTGTTGATGATGATGGTGATGATGATGGTGATGTGATACCGATGCCCTACCAATGGTATTGATGATGGTGATGATGACGGTGGTATTGCCGGTGCTGTGATGTCGTACTGATGGAGCCGATGATGGTGCTATTGCAGGCGATGCCTTACTGATGGCGCACTAATTTTTACGTTGATATTGATGGTGGTGGTGATATTCAGTTGCCGATTTTAATGATCCTGGCTACTGCAGTTTACAATGCCAATGATGATGCTGATGATTCAGCTGATTGGTTTGTTTTTCGCTTGCCGATTGCAGCCGATGTTACTGCTGCCGACGACGACGATGACGATCGTCAACCTATGATGGCACCCCGGGAGGAGAGCTTTCAGAGATTTCCGCTCTCTTAAATCGACAAACTTTGGTGGTACCGGGGAACTGACGAATGTCGGGGGGGGAGGGGGGTGGGGACTTTAATCGCTGGTGAGAGAACGAGAGAATCGAAAATTAATTGCAGGCTATCGAATGTTAAAACAGGTACAATTTTACACAAACTATATATGTGTGTAATGGGTTATACGTTGGCAACGGTAGGCTTAACGCAACGATGTTATTGCGGCCTTATACGCGGGTATCCAACTATAGGGTTGTTGTTATTGTTGTTAAAGGCCATCTTTAAATCATCTAAAGTATAAAAGGTGGTGGTGGTGGGTGGCACAATGTGGATGTCGAGTTTTGAAATGGGTACCCTGTCGAAATGAAGAATTGTAAAAAAAATAAAACTATAATAGAATTTTGATTTAAAGCTTTCGGTGACTGCAGGGACTCATTCTTGGTTCTTTCGGTAAAGTCACCACGTAGAAGGGAAACAATAAAATAATAAAAATATAAAACAATAACATTCTCACGACGTTTCGGGAGCAACACAAGCATCCATCATCAGGTGGGAAAGCATGGTCCGCTGCTGAGGCAGATTGTTTTAAAAGGTTTGAAATGGGTGTAGCCCAAGGGTCAAAAAGTGGCCGGTGCTAGTGATGTTAATATGAGCATGAGAGTGCATCCAAAAGAAATGTGAGCATGAGAGTGCAATCCAAAGGCATGAGAGTGCAATGCAACGGACATGTGAGCATGAGAGGTCTAAGAGAGAGGCATAGAGAGAGAGACACACAGAGGGTCGAAATAACAGCTGACATAGGCAGGTTGGATGGAAACACCACAGTCAGTAAAGACTATACCTGATTAATAACGTCCTTCCAATTATTGCTCAGTTTGTACCCATCCTCTCGGTTTAAGTTGTGTCTGTGTTTATATATCTGGATGGCTTCATGAACAAATCTCTGAAGGTAGCCAGTAGGTTTGCAGAGTACCTCCGCCTTGGAAAATTAAATTTCGCGTGAGCCCACTGCGTTAAAACAATGATCGGCAACGGCAGAGGTATTGGTCCTACCGTGTTTCAGATCTGCCTTGTGTTCACGGACACGGTCCGAGACATGTCGTTTCGTTTCCCCAATGTCACTGCTGCTGCAACCACAGCTCAGTTTGTAGACACCAGGGTATTGCATGTCAGGAATCACATCTTTTACAGATGGGATTAAATCACAGATTTTGTGTACTGTATTGAAACGAACCTGGATCTTGTGTGTTTAAAGATTTTGGAAATCTTTTTGGTAACCCCCTGCTATGTACGGTAAAGTGATGGTTTTGGTTGGATCCTCAGAAGGTTGTCCCCGCATGGCTGGGGAGACAGCTTTGCGGATTGTACGGTCCGAGTATCCGTTCATCCTGAGGGCTTGGTGTACGTGCTCCAACTCACTGGCTAGGTGGTGCTGGTCAGAGATGCAACAGGCCCTATGGTGTAGTGTGTTTTGATGAGGGAATTCTTCTGGGCTGGATGGTGGTGAGAGTCAAGCTTTAGATCGGCATCCATGTGGGTGGCTTTCCTGGAGACCGAATGTCCCAACGAGCCATCAGGTCTCTTCTCAATCAAAACATCCAGGAATGGAAGCTTGACATCTTTTTCCACTTCCATGGTGAATTTGATAGACGGGTGTATGGAACTGATGTGGTTGAGGAATTGATTCAGTGCTGGCAGGCCATGTGGCCTAATGACAAACGTGTTATCTACGTATCTCTTCCACAAGGGAGGACGTAGGGTGGATGTCTGGATGGCATCTGTCTCAAATTTTTCCATTAAAACATTCGCAAACCATTGGGGTAGCCTCATTTTGTCTGTAGAATGTACCATTCCAGGTGAAGTATGTGTTGGTAAGACAGTGCCTGACCAAAGTTGGTACATCTGGATTCAGTCCTTGTTGGACCAAGGCTTCAATGATTGCAATGGTGTCAAGTACAGGTACATTGGTGAACAGAGAGACTACGTCGAAACTGACAAGCAAATCATCCGGAGACAGTGAGATGTCCTTGATTAGAGAAACCAAGTGAGCCGAGTTAAGTACAGCTGAGGTGCACTTGCCAGTGAAAGGAAGCAGTCTCAGACAGAAATCGGGCCAGTTTGTAGGTGGGCGAGTTAATCGTGGAGACGATAGAATGGAGCGGGGTACCTATTTTGTGGATTTTTGGAAGGCCATAAAATCTGGGTGGTCTAGCAGCTGAAGGTTTTAGGGAGCTCTGCTTGGTCTGATCGATTAGAGAAGTCGATTGAGTGATGGGATCTCTGTTGATTTTGGTATAGCTGCCATCATTAAGGTCCTGAATTTTGTTGTTGTAAGTGGTTTTATCCATGATGACAGTGGTGTTGCTCTTGTCGGCTGAGAGGATGACAATTTAATCTGTTTTTTTTTTACATTTAGAGAGTTCAAAACGCTCGTCCTTGCTGATGTTGCTAATGGGTTTCTTAGCGTTTGAGGATAGCAGCGATTTCAGATCTAGCAACTTCACTTCTGTGCCCTCGTCTAGGAGGCCGCTTTCCTAGCTTACATTTACAAGCTAATTTCTCACATTAACATCAATAGCCCCGGCCACTTCTTTTTGACCCTTGAGCTACACCCATTTCAAACCTTTTAAAACAGTCTGCCTCAGCAGCAGACCCACGCTTTCCCACCTGATGATGGACGCCCATGTTGCGCCCGAAGCGTCACGATTCCTTTTATTCTATACCTACGTGACTTTACCGAAAGAACCAAAGAGTATGGATTCCTGCAGTCAGGAAAGCTTCAAATACATTTTATATATTCGGTAATTGCGGACCACACACAATGGCTTACTCTTGCGAATAACATCGGGGGGTGGGGGCGATCTTTAACGTGTCCACTGTAAAGCAGATGGCACGGGTACCGCAATATTAACCAGGGCGGCCGCTGGATTCAAACCACGAACCTCTCTGCAACAGGGGGCCATCGTACTGCGAGGGCCACGTCGCTGTGCAGTGTAAGGTGTCACCGAGTACCCAGGTATCGCTGGTCTACAACTTTTTAGATGTCTGCTTCAGAGATGAAATGTGCTGCGTATTATGTATTTTCACGTGCTAAATTCAAATATGAAAATAACTGATTGGCTACTGTTCACAAGATATTTAAGTTTTTACATTTTACGTCTATATTTAGTGTAGATAGAAGAGTTTTACTCATAAATTTTAAACCTAGGTCTTTTCATGTGTTTATGGTTGCTTTACATAATAACATGTCACCTGTCGTGTTTATGTAACACTTTAAAAATGAGCAAAAAGGTTATATGAATAAAATGTATTATGAAACAAAAGGCAAAAAACTATTATGTATAAATAAGTACATAGTTTAGTCCTTATTCAGTGTCTACTTGGCACTTCTTGGCTTGTCTCTTGTATTCATTACATGGAGCATCTCTTGTCACTGTCCAGCAATAGCCTGCTAGCATTGATGGGCTCCATTTGCCCTGATAGCGTTTCTCCATTGTTGCAATGTCCTGGGTGAAATCGCTCGCCATGCTCGTCGCTCACTCCTCCGCAGTTCGGTGGGAAAAAAATCTAGATGAGTGCAAAAAAATGAATCTTTAGTGACATGTTGCAACCAAGGATTTTGTTTGCCTTGGGGAAGTTTTCCACCAACTCCCTGTAGTTGTCTGCGTTGTTTTTTTCCCGAGAAAATTTGTTGCCACTAACTGGAAGGCTTCTCATGCCGTCTTTCCTTGCCACGCAGTTTACTGTCAAATGCATCATCTCGAAGAAGTTCACGAATCTGAGGACCAACAAAGACACCTTCCTTTATCTCAGCTTCACTTAACCTTGGACATTTTTCACAGAGGTACTTGAAAGCTGCTTGTGACAAAGTTCTTCATCAGACCCAGCTTGATGTGTAAGGGTGGTAACAAAATCTTCCTTGATTCAACAAGTGGCGGACGCTGAACACATTTCCTCCCAGGCTCCAATGACTGTCGGAGTGGCCAATCTATCTTGGTGTAGTGGGAATCTCTCGCACGACTATCCCATTTGCAGAGAGAACAGCGGCACTGTGTATCCAGTCTGCAGGCCAAGCAAGAGAGCAACAACCTTCAAATTGCCACAAAGCTGCCACTGATGTTGGTCAGAGTTTATGCACCTCAAAAGAACTTCATGACCAACTGCAATTGATGGCAAAACATTCGGTCTACAGGAAAGCCACCCACACGGATGCCAATATAAAGCCCAACTCCCACCACCATCCAGCCCAGAAGAATTCCCTCATCAAAACACTACACCATAGGGCATCTCTGACCAGCACCACCTAGCCAGTGAGTTGGAGCACGTACACCAAGCCCTCAGGATGAACGGATACTCGGACCGTACAATCCGCAAAGCTGTCTCCCCAGCCATGCGGGGACAACCTTCTGAGGATGAAACCAAAACCATCACTTTACCGTACATAACAGGGGTTACCAAAAAGATTTCCAAAATCTTAAAAACACAAGATCCAAGTTCGTTTCAATACAGTACACAATCTGCGATTTAATCCCATCTGTAAAAGATGTGATTCCTGACATGCAATACCCTGGTGTCTACAAACTGAGCTGTGGTTGCGGCAGCAGTGACATTGGGGAAACGAAACGACATGTCTCGGACCGCGTCCGTGAACACAAGGCAGATCTGAAACACGGTAGGACCAATACCTCTGCCGTTGCCGATCATTGTTTTAACGGAGTGGGCTCACACGAAATAGATTTTTCCAAGATGGAGGTACTCTGCAAACCTACTGGCTACCTTCAGAGATTTGTTCATGAAGCCACCCAGATATATAAACACAGACAACTTCAACCGAGAGGATGGGTACAAACTGAGAAATCATTGGAAGGACGTTATTAACCAGGTGACGTCTTAACTGACTGTGATGTTTCCATCCAACCTGCCTATGTCAGCTGTTATTTTGACCCTCTGTGTGTGTCTCTCTCTCTCTGCCTCTCTCTTAGATCTCTCATGCTCACATGTCCGTTGCATTGCACTCTCATGCCTTTGGATTGCACTCTCATGCTCACATTAACATCAGTAGCCCCGCCACTTATTTTTGACCCTTGGGCTACACCCATTTCAATCCTTTTAAAACAGTCTGCCTCAGCAGCGGACCATGCTTTCCCACCTGATGATGGATGCTTGTGTTGCGCCGGAAACGTCGTGAGAATGTTATTGTTTTATATTTTTATTATTTTATTGTTTCCCTTCTACGTGACTTTACCGAAAGAACCAAGAATATAATAGAATTGTAAACAAAAACAATAGAATTTTAAAATAAACTATGAAATTTTAAAAACCAAACGATAATTGAATTTTGATTTAAAGCTTTCGTGACTGCAGTAATTCATATTCTTAGTTTTTTCGGTAAAGTCACGTTGAAGAGAAACAACAACGTGACTTTACCGAAAAAACTAAGAATATGATAATTGAATTGTAAAAAAAAACTAATCAATTGGATTTTTTCGTGTGCAAATGAAACCTTGGGTACCGATCTGCCCCAGGGACCCCCGAAACAATTTGTAGGAGTACTCCTACAAATCCTAAAGAGTGTAGTACGATGATTTGTAGGAGTACTCCTATAGTGCAGCAGTAGGATGATTTGTAGGAGTACTCCTATAGAGCGCAGCTGTAGGATGATTTGTAGGAGTACTCCTATAGCGTGCAGCAGTAGGATGATTTGTAGGAGTGCTCCTATAGAGTGCAGCAGTAGGATGATTTGTAGGAGTACTCCTATAGAGTGCAGCAGTAGGATAATTTGTAGGAGTACTCCTATAGAGTGCAGCAGTAGGATGATCTGTAGGAGTACTCCTAGAGTGCAGCAGTACGATGATTTGTAGGAGTAATCCTATATATAGTGGGATGATTTGTAGGAGTACTCCTATAGAGTGTAGCAGTAGGATGATCTACAGTACTCCTATAGTGTAGTAGTAATAGGATGATTTGGAGTACTCTTATAGTGTAGTAGTAGGATGATTTGTAGGAGTACTCTTATAAAATGTAGTAGGATGATTTGTAATACTCTGACGGTGTTGTAGGATGATGATTTGTAGTACTCCTATAGAGTGTAGGATGATGATTTGTAGGAGTAATCCTATAGAGTGTAGGATGATGATTTGTAGGAGTAATCCTATAGAGTGTAGGATGATGATTTATAGTACTACTATAGAGTGTAGGATGATGATGATTTATAGGAGTACTATCGAGTAGTAGTAATTGGATGATGATTTATAGGTATGCCAATTCCATTGTTAATGGGTTTTTATTGAATGAGACGCTTCGCTAAATGCAAATTAATGTAGAAAAACCAACGCCTTGTTGTGTAGTACGATACTTATTAGTTTGCAAAGTAAATGGCTAAATGTTTAAGTTATTCCGTCGAATTAATGTGACGTTAGTGGAACGTAGTAAACTTGCGTAACGTTGCATACGAACGTCGCCTGAACGTTCACTTCACAACTTTCAAATTGAAACCGCCGCGTTATCTCTGCTGTGTGCTGCGTGTGTTCCGTGCTGTGTGTTCCGTGCTGTGTGTGCTGTGTGTGTGCTGTGTGTGTGCTGTGTGTGTGCTGTGTGTGTGCTGTGTGTGCTGTGTGTGTTCTGTGTGCTGTGTGTGTTCTGTGTGTTATTTGTGCTGTGTGTGTTCTGTGTGTTGTGTGTGTTCTGCGTGCTGTGTGTGTTGTGTGTGCTGCGTGTGTTCTGTGTGTTCTGTGTGCTGCCTGTGCTGTGTGTGTTCTGTGTGCTGTGTGTGTTCTGCGTGCTGTGTGTTGTGTGTGTTCTGTGTGCTGTGTGTGTTCTGTGTGCTGTGTGTGTTCTGTGTGCTGTGTGTTCTGTGTGTGTTATGTGTGTTATGTGTGCTGTGTGTGTTCTGTGTGCTGTGTGTTCTGTGTGCTGTGTGTGTTCTGTGTGCTGTGTGTTCTGTGTGTGTTCTGTGTGTGCTGTGTGTGTTCTGTGTGCTGTGTGTGTTCTGTGTGTTCTGTGTGCTGTGTGTGTTGTGTGTGTGCTGTGTGTGTGCTGTGTGTGTGCTGTGTGTGTGCTGTGTGTGTGCTGTGTGTGTTCTGTGTGTGCTGTGTGTGTTCTGTGTGCTGCGTGTGTGCTGTGTGTGTGCTGCGTGTGTGCTGTGTGTGTGCTGTGTGTGTTCTGTGTGTGTTCTGTGTGCTGCGTGTGTTCTGTGTGCTGTGTGTGTTCTGTGTGCTGTGTGTGTTGTGTGTGCTGTGTGTGTTGTGTATGTGCTGTGTGTGTTGTGTGCTGTGTGTGCTGTGTGTGTGCTGTGTGTGTGCTGTGTGTGTTCTGTGTGCTGCGTGTGTTCTGTGTGCTGTGTGTGTTCTGTGTGCTGTGTGTTGTGTGCTGTGTGTGTGCTGTGTGTGCTGTGTGTGTTCTGTGTGCTGTGTGTGTTCTGTGTGCTGTGTGTGTTCTGTGTGCTGTGTGTGTTCTGTGTGCTGTGTGTGTTCTGTGTGCTGTGTGTGTTCTGTGTGTTATGTGTGCTGTGTGTGTTGTGTTTTGTGTGCTGTGTGTGTGCTGTGTGTGTTGTGTTCTGTGTGTTCTGTGTGCTGTGTGTGTTCTGTGTGCTGTGTGTGTTGTGTTCTGTGTGCTGTGTGTGTGCTGTGTGTGTTGTGTGTGTGCTGTGTGTTCTGTGTGTGTTGTGTTCTGTGTGCTGTGTGTGTTCTGTGTGCTGTGTGTGTTCTGTGTGCTGTGTGTGTTCTGTGTGCTGCGTGTGTGCTGTGTGTGTTGTGTGTGTTATGTGTGCTGTGTGTGTGCTGTGTGTGTTCTGTGTGCTGTGTGTGTGCTGTGTGTGTTGTGTTCTGTGTGCTGCGTGTGTGCTGTGTGTTGTGTGTGCTGTGTGTTATGTGCGCTGCGTGTGTTGTGTTCTGTGTGTGTGCTGTGTGTGTTCTGTGCGCTGTGTGTGTTCTGTGTGTGCTCTGTGTGTGCTGTGTGTTCTGTGCGCTGTGTGCGCGCCGGGTGCGTAAGATCTGAATGGTCTCTACATTATCGCTGGTGATAATAATTATAATTATTGATGGTGTTAATATTTATCGATGGTGGTGATGGTGATGCTTTAACTGTCGCGCATTGACGCGTCTCTTGCCCTGGATATTAACTACTCAGATTAAACTACAAATGTCTGTGACGGTGGAGTGGTGGTGGTGTAGTGGTAGTGTTGTTGTGGAGTGGTGGTGTAGTGGTAGTGGTGGTGTAGTGGAGTGGTGGTGTAGTGGTGGTGTAGTGGAGTGGTGGTGTAGTGGTAGTGTTGTTGTTGTAGTGGAGTGATTGTATAGTGGTGGTGTTGTTGTTGTGGAGTGTAGTGGTGGTGTTGTTGTGGTGTAGTGGTGGTGTTGTTGTTATAGTGGTGGTGTAGTGGTAGTGTTGTAGTGTAGTGGTGGTGTAGTGGTAGTGTTGTTGTAGTGGAGTGGTGGTGTAGTGGTGGTGTTGTTGGTATAGTGGTGGTGTAGTGGTAGTGTTGTTGTTGGTATAGTGGTGTAGTGGTAGTGTTGTTGTTGTAGTGGAGTGGTGGTGTGGTGGTGGTGTTGTAGTGGTGGTAGTGTTGTAGTGGTAGTGTTGTAGTGGTGTTGTTGTGGTGGTTGGTGTTGTAGTGGTGGTGGTGTTGTTGTAGTGTTGTAGTGTAGTAGTAGTGGTGGTGTTGTTGTAGTGTAGTAGTAGTGGTGTAGTAATAGTGGTGGTGGTTGGCGCCTTGCCACCACCGAGTGAATGAAACGCGCAGTTCAGGGGGGCCCCCATCGATTGGCCATCTCACACACGAAACGATCGAATTTTTTTGTTGTTTGGAGGGAATTTGACGATGACGACGGAGAGCGATGATAGCGACGAAGTTAAAGCTTTTGCGTGTCCGTTTATCATTTTTTTTTAAAAAGCGCACGGAATATCACGAGTCTGAGGTAAATCATCATCCGTCACCTCCTCCTCGTGTTGATGGAGGCCTCCTCCTCCTCCGCCGATTCTCTGCTGCTGCTTTGCTGTGGTCGGCCCCCCCCCCTTGTAAGTCGCTGCCGCCGCTGCTGCTGTAGCCGCCGCTGCCGCCGCTGTAGCCGCCGCTGCCGCCGCTGTAGCTGTAGCTGCTGTAGTGGCTATTGGTTAGTGGCTGGTGAGGCCCCGCTAGCTAATGTCGTCGGCCATGCTGTGTGAGGCACGGCCGCCTTCAGTGAGGGGGGTCGCCTCGTGGGCGACCCGCTTATATAGTGACCCGTGGGGGGGGAGGGGGGGGGTGTTGAGCGTGGTGACGTCACCACGCTTAACACCCCCCCCCTCCCCGCTACCTCGCCTCCCGCCTCTATTCAGCGTGGTGACGTCGGCACGCTCACCTCCCTACCTCGCCCCGCCTCTCTTCAGCGTGGTTACGTCACCACGCTCACCCACCCCCCTGCCTCGCCCCGCCTCTCTACAGCGTGTTTACGTCACCACGCTCACCCACCCCCCTGCCTCGCCCCGCCTCTCTTCAAAACCCCCCCTACCTCGTCCCGCCTCTATTCAGCGTGGTGACGTCAGCACGCTTACCTCCCGACCTCGCACCGCCTCTCTTCAGCGTGGCGACGTCACCACGCTGAAGAGAGGCGGGGGGGGTGGAGAGGTGCGAGCATGGTGACGTCACCACGCTCGCACCTCTCCACCTCGCCCCGCCCCCCGTCCTTCAAACCCATCGCCGATATTAAGGTCACCGGTAGGGTCACCCAGCGCGCGCAGTGTGCGTGGTGACGTCACCGGTAGGCCGCGTAACCCAGTGTGTGGTGGACGTCACCACGCTGACCTCCGCCGTGGTGACGCAATGACGCCGGTTTTGCGACGCGATGACGTCACACGCAGGTTCGCGCCAGAACATTCGGCGCGCGATAGATGTAGGAGGAGAGGGGGGGTGACGTCATAACTCAGTGACGTCACCTCCCGCGCGCGCGAGATTTGCGTGGCGACGTCAATCGCGTTGCGGCTCAACGTTTTTTTGCTCCGCGCGGTGACGTCACGAGGAGGGGCCAACGATATCACAAGGAGGCGCCAATGACGTCACAAGGAGGCGCCAATGCCGTGACGTCACGGGACTGGGAGGGCGCAGTTGCAACCAGCGCGATGACGTCATAGCTGAGGGTTGTGTCCACTATTATGAGCTCAACATCATCATCATTCCAATGCAATAAGAGCCGACATTGGGGGCCGTCCATAAATAACGTCACGCGATTTTGGCCGATTTTTGACCCCCCCTTCGTCACATGACGTCACAAAAAGTCAGACCCCCCTCAAATATGACGTCACAAAGCTCTGCCCCCCCCCCCCCACAAAAAATTAAACATGCTTAAAATCGCTTTTAAACTATTGCCATTGTAGTGGCGCTGCACTGATGTTGCAGGAGAAAACATTTATTCAAAAAGTCTATTTAATTTAGTAGAACATGTTGCCTATATGTATTTAAAGTTGCGCATTTTGATGTGACGTCACATTTCTCATACCTCCCCCCCCAACTCGTCACATATCGTCACAAATGTCTGACCCCCCCCCCCCCAGGTGCGTGACGTCATTTATGTACGGTCCCTTACATAAGAGATGTTAACTACCTCGTCTGGTACACAGGAGGACGTGGCTTCATTACCCACTTGACGCCTGCTGCTGCTGCTGTATATTTGGAGTCTGCGTCTCTCTCTCTACCTATGGAGATGATAACTACCTCACCTGGTACGCAGGAGGTCGTGGGTTCCATCCTGATCCTTGACGTCTGCTGCTGCTGCATATTCGGAGTCTGCGTCTCTCTCTCTACCCATGGAGATGTTAACTACCTCGCCTGGTACACAGGAGGTCGTGGCTTCGTTACCAACCTTGACGCCTGCTGCTGCTGTATATTCGGAGTCTGCGTCTCTCTCTCTACCCATGGAGATGTTAACTACCTCGCCTGGAACACAGGAGGTCGTAGCTTCGTTACCAACCTTGACTCCTGCTGCTGCTGCATATTCGGAGTCTGCGTCTCTCTCTCTACCCATGGAGATGTTAACTACCTCGCCTGGTACACAGGAGGTCGTGGCTTCGTTACCAACCTTGACGCCTGCTGCTGCTGTATATTCGGAGTCTGCGTCTCTCTCTCTACCCATGGAGATGTTAACTACCTCGCCTGGTACACAGGAGGTCGTAGCTTCGTTACCAACCTTGACTCCTGCTGCTGCTGCATATTCGGAGTCTGCGTCTCTCTCTCTACCCATGGAGATGTTAACTACCTCGCCTGGTACACAGGAGGTCGTGGCTTCGTTACCAACCTTGACGCCTGCTGCTGCTGCTGTATATTCGGAGTCTGCGTCTCTCTCTCTACCCATGGAGATGTTAACTACCTCGCCTGGTACGCAGGAGGTCGTGGGTTCCATCCTGATCCTTGACGTCTGCTGCTGCTGCTGTATATTCGGAGTCTGCGTCTCTCTCTCTACCTATGGATATGTTAACTACCTCGTCTGGTACACAGGAGGTCGTAGCTTCGTTACCAACCTTGACGCCTGCTGCTGCTGTATATTTGGAGTCTGCGTCTCTCTCTCCCCGTGGTCGCGTGGATGTTTTCCTACGAGGTCCTCCGGTTTTTTATCCCTCCATCACGATAATTATACCAAAAGGTTTAACAGATTATTACCCTTTTGCTGGCAAGAAAACAGGAGGCATTCATCTCGATTTGAAGCTTTCGTGACTGCAGGAATCCATGCTCTTTGGTTCTTTCGGTAAAGTCACGTGGTAGGTAGAAAATAAAATAAATCACGACGTTTCGGGCGCAACACAAGCGTCCGTTATCAGGTGGGATAAGCGTGGTCCTGCTGCTGATGCAGACTGTTTTTTTTTAATTTAACAAATGTCTGACCTACGTGACTTTACCGAAAGAAATTTAACTGCCTCTACGGGGAGGGATTCCACACATCCTTAAGATCATTCAACAGACTTCGGGATAAGAAGGCTCAACTAATCGAGTCTCTCACCTTTCTGAAGAGATGACGCGACTCTAAGCTATCCGTGGTGCTAAAGTTGAGGGCGCTTTGTTCCTCTCACACAGCGTAAAGGCCGTGATCTGAACGTGGCTCTTTCACTCCAGCGCTGTCCTACCAGACAGTCTCGTCCCTTCACCTGATGAAGGCCGCTTGTGTTGTGGCCGAAACGTCGTGAGAATATTATTGTGTTATTTTATTTTATCAATTTATTATTTTATTCTCATTCTACGTGACTTTACCGAAAGACCCAAAGAAGATGAACAGTCACGAAAGCTTTAAATCGAAATTTACCGAAAGAACCAAAGAGTAAGGAGGCATTAAGATGTTCATACACCAAGTAGATTATACCTTTTGCAAGCAATAAAGGACCCGCAATAACCACACACGGGGACTTGTGGTGACCATGGCCACCCACCCCCTCGTGTGCCGTGCCGGCCTTGATAGGTGCTCGCTAACAGCACTTGCCCCGACAGTCTGTCCAGGCTACACGGGGGCATCTTTATCTGTCTCTGTGTGTGGGTGTCTGTGTGTGTTTGTGGGGAGTGATAGTGTAGCGGTTAGTGCACTGCGCTATGATCCTGGCGACCCGGGTTCGATGCCCGCTCACGGCCAACACCAGTGACGATTATCTGAACCGGTCCCGGGCCTCCGCTAGGTCGACTCAGCCTCAAATGAGTACCTGGTGCGGTGTGTAAACATTGCCACTAGGGAGACAAAGGCGGTCGGGCGTGGTGCTGGCCACCCACCCCCTCGTGTACCGTTCTGGCCTTCATAGGTGCTCGCTAACAGCACTTGCCCTTACAGTCTGTTAAGGCTATATGGGGGATCTTTGTCTATCTTTGTCTGTGTGCAATGAGTGGTGGCTTCTTACTCGCCGTAACAATCTACAAGCTCGCACTGGGACTCGAGGTGATTGAAAAGACGAGTTTTTTATTTTTATTTTCAAGCCCTCTGGTTCTCTCGGTAAAGTCACGTAGATAGAAATAAATAAATATATATAATTAAAGACAACACGAGACGTTTCGGTCGCAACACAAGCGTCCGTCTTCTGGTGAGAAAAGTATCTGCTGTTGTGACTTTATAGAGCATTCTCTTGTTTTTTTTCGGTAAAGTCACGTAGAAATAAGAAATAGTAATAAAATTACATAATAGCATACGACGTTTCGATTGCAACGCAAGCAATCATCGTCAGGTATAGAAGAGCTAAATTTAAGAGAGAATGGAAACTCAGAACCGCAGATACATACAGACACCCAAGTAGAGGGCGTTAACACAGAGACACAAAGAGAGACACAACGTACGGAGCACAGAGAGACAGGGTCTCTGTGTCGAGGCCTTAGCACGTAGGGTAGACAAAGAGAGATGGAGAAGCACATCAAATCGAGCAAGTAGAGGAGCCAGGCACATGCCGCTGCAGCGTGGTGATGGGGGAAAGGGGCACAAAAATCAGATTAGCATGCCCACGGGGACTGTGGAGAGAGACAAGACACGTACACGTAGACACAAAGGCAGAAACACAGGTAGAGACAACACAGAGACACAGAAAATTACTGAAAAAAAAACCAAAGTAATTCCTGCAGTCACGACAGCACCAAATCAAGTTTTGATTTTCTTTGGTTCTTTCGGTAAAGTCACGTAGAATGAGAATAAAATAATAAATTGATAAAATAAAATAACAATAATATTCTCACGACGTTTCGGCCACAACACAAGCGGCCTTCATCAGGTGAAGGGACGAGACTGTCTGGTAGGACAAAGTCACGTAGAATGAGAATAAAATAATAAATTGATAAAATAAAATAACAATAATATTCTCACGACGTTTCGGCCACAACACAAGCGGCCTTCATCAGGTGAAGGGACGAGACTGTCTGGTAGGACAGTCTCGTCTGGTAGGACAGTCTCGTCCCTTCACCTGATGAAGGCCGCTTGTGTTGTGGCCGAAACGTCGTGAGAATATTATTGTGTTATTTTATTTTATCAATTTATTATTTTATTCTCATTCTATGTGACTTTACCGAAAGAACCAAAGAAGATGAATCATTGCAGTCACGAAAGTTTTAAATCGAAATTCAAGTTTTCATTCTCTTGCTGTGGTTGTCCCACCTGATGATGATGATGATCGCCCGCGTTGCGATGATCGAAACGTCGTGATTTATTTTATTTTACTTCTACCTACGTGACTTTACCGAAATAACCAGAGAGTATGGGGGGGAGGGGAAGGCGTTTTGTCGAGTCGTGGCTGTAGGAGTTCACGGGGAGAAGGGGGGAGAGTTTGTGGCGTGCAGGGAAGGGTGGGGGCTGGAGAAATTATCAAGGAGCTCGAATTAGTGGGTGAGTGAGAATCACAGCAGTTAAAACTTGACGCGGTTTATCACGTCCTTCAAATGATCGTCTCAATCTGAATCCATCTTCTCGATTAAAGTTGTGTCTGTGTTTGTATATCTGGATGGCTTCGTGAACAAATTCTCTGATGGTGGCCCGCGGGTTTGCAGAGCACCTTCGTCTCGGAGAAACAACGTCACGTGTGCCCACAGCGTTGAAACAATGATCCACCACCGCCGAAGTGTTGGTTCTGCCGTGTTTCAAATCCGCTTTGTGTTCGCGAACCCGGTCTGAGACACGTCGCTTCGTTTAAGCGATGTAACTGCTGCCGCAGACACGACTCGGCTTATAGACACCAGGGCATTGCATGTCCAGAATCGCATCCTTCACCGATGGGATCAAATCACGGATTTTGTGTACTGTATTGAACCGAAATTGGGTCTTGTGTTTGTTCAAGATTTTGGCAATCCTTTTGGTGACCACTGCTACGTATGGTAAGCTGATGGTTTTTATTGGGTCCTCAGATGGTTCTCTACCCATGGTTGGGGATGCAGCTTTGCGGATTGTGCGATCAGAATATCCATTCTTCCTGAGAGCCTGGCATACGTGTTCAAGCTCACTGGCTAGGTGGTGCTGGTCGGAGATGCAACGGGCCCTATGGTGTAGTGTTTTGATGAGGGAATTCTTCTGGGCTGGATGGTGGTGGGAGTCAGGCTTTAGATAGGAATCCGTGTGGGTGGCTTTCCTGTAGACAGAGTGTCCCAACGAGCCATCAGGCCTCTTCTCGATCAAAAATCCAGGAATGGTAGCTTGCCATCATTTTCCACTTCCATGGTGAATTTGATAGACGGGTGTATGGAACTGATGTGGTCGAGAAATTGGTATAGTGCCATCCGGCCAGATGACGAAGGTGTCATCTACGTGTCTCTTCCACAAGGAAGGACGTCGGGTGGATGTCTGGATGGCGTCTGTCTCAAATTTCTCCATGAAAATGTTCGCTACCACTGGCCATAGGGGAGAGCCCATTGGGGTACCTTCATTCTGTCTGTAGAAAGTACCATTCCAGATGAAGTAAGCGTTGGGAAGGCAGCGCCTTACCAACGATGGTACATCAGGATCCAATCCCTGTTGGATTAGGTCTTCAATTATTGCAATAGTATCAGGTACGGGTACCTTGGTGAAGAAGGAGACTACATCGAAACTGACACGCAAATCCTCCGGGGAGACAGTGATATGTCCTTGATTAGTGAAACCACGTGGGCCGAATTTCGATTCAAAGCTTTCGTGACTGCAGGGATACATCTTCTTGGTTCTTTCGGTAAAGTCACCACGTAAAAGGGAAATAATAAAATAATACAAATAAAACATTGTAAAATAAAATCTCACGACGTTTCGGCTACTTGTGCTGTGGCCGAAACGTCGTGAGAATTTTATTGTGTTTTATTTTTATTATTTTATTATTTCCCTTCTACGTGACTTTACCGAAAGAACCAAGAACAACTGGGCCGAATTAAGCACAGCTGAAGGCAGTCTTGCCCGTGAAGGGAAGCAGAGTCTCAGACAGAAATCGTGCCAATCTGTAAGTGGGTGAGTTGATGGTGGATACGATAGGACGGAGTGGAGTACCCTCTTTATGGATTTTTGGAAGGCCGTAAAATCTGGGTGGTCTCGCAGCCGAAGGTTTTATAGAGAACTGTTTGGTGCGTTCGATTAGAGAAGTCGAATTAGTGATGATTTTATTTTGATTTAAAGCTTTCGTGACTGCAGGGATTCATATTCTAGGTTCTATCGGTAAAGTCACCACCACGTAGAAGGGAAATATTAAAATAATAAAAATATAAAACAATAAAATTCTCACGACGTTTCGACGGAAACACGAGCAATCATCATTGCTTTTGTGACTTTACCGTTTTATATTTTTATTATTGTATTGTTTCCCTTTTACGTGACTTTACCGAAAGAAACAAGAATATGAATCCCTGCAGTCACGAAAGCTTTAAATACATTTTTTACCGAAAGAACTAATAATATAGTGATGATTTTGTTGGTTTTAGCAGCCAGGCTATTGGTATGGTCTCTGTTAATTTTGGAGTAGCTGCCATCATTGAGTAGGTCTTGGATTTTGTTGGTGTATGTGGTTTTATCCATGATGACGGTGGCATTGCCCTTGTCTGTTTATATTTTTATTTTTTAATTTAGTTTAACACGCAGTAGGCTTTCACGACCAACATCGCGTGAATATAGAAACGTGCCCTCAAACCCGCCACAGCCAAATTCAGTAAGGCTTCGTCACGTAAACAGAACGCTAGTCTTTTTTTACAGCGTAACGTGAAAAAAAGAACACTTATTTCCAAATCGTTACGAGTTGAACAAGGCTTATTCTTGGTTCTTTCGGTGAAGTCATGTAGATAGAAATTAAAAATAAAAGCAAAAAACCCACGACGTTTCGATCGCAACACAAGCGGTCTTCTTTGTTGTGGGTTTTGCGTTCATTTTTGATCTAATTTAATTTTTATTTTCTATCTACGTGACTTACCAGAGAGAAACCGAGAACATGAATTATTGCAGTCACGAAAGTCTCAAGTCAAAATTGAACAAGGCTTGTCGAACCGCAACACATTTCGTGGCACCGACCACGCACGGGAGGGCATTTAAATGCAGAGCGTTGTTCTGGTGCTACCCGACTTCGCGAACACCGTTCCACTTTACGAACGGCTCACGGTAACGAGTTCTGTTCGTAACCCGAGGGCTGCTCCGTACCTCTCATTTGTATTGCAAAACACAAACCCCGCAGACGTGCGGGGTTAGGGGAGAAGCAATTCGCGGCTCGTTGGGAAATTCCACATTCCCATGGCAGGGGTGATTACAATTGACATGGCAACCGCTGACAATTTACTAGGCCGCGGTGGCTGATGTTAACTACCTCGCCTGGTGTACAGGAGGCCGTGGGTTCGATCCCGACCCTGTCACCACGGTGGCTAGGAGATCTTAACTACCTCGCCCTGTGTACATGGAGGTCGTGGGTTAAATCATAACCCTCACACCTGCTATATATTTGGGGTTTGCGTGTCTCTCTCTCTGTGTCCCCATGGTGGTCGCGTGGAGTTTTGTATCCGGGTCCTCCCTTTTTTTTCCTCCCCAGACTTAGAATCAAATGTCACCGCACGTTTAGAGTTATTTGGCTGCTGCTATAAAATGACAACGCGACGAGAAGCCGAATTTGCCGAGCTTTCATCTGTGATGGCGAGATCGCTTCTGAAAAAGAGCTACTACGTAGAAGCTCAGCGGGACCCTCGGGGTTTAGTTTAGGCTCCTTATACCGCATGGCTTCTGCCTTGGACACTGCGACTGCTGTGGCCATCGGAGAGTGAGCAACTACCTCAAGTTGAAGCTACTTATCGTTAAAAATATATCACACCCTCGACGTTATCCGACAAGAGTGCAAAAAATTCAACCCTCTCAGCGGCTGATGAGCGCATTTTAACCCCTTTACCGTTGCGATGGCGTGCGCGTGTGTACGACATCGGGTTTTTTTTCAATTCAGTGCCGATGACGTGCAACGTAACCACGAAGCGTGACGTCACCGCTCCAAAAAACAAAGATCCCCCCCCCTGTGTAGCATGTAACAGACTGTGGGAGCAGGTAGCTATTGATAGTGAGGAGCAGCACCTATGAAGGCTACCGGCACTGTGGCACACGAGGGGGCGGATGGCCAGCACCACGCCCGGCCGCCTTTGTCTCCCTAGTAGCGAAGTTAAATACACCGCCACACCAGGTGCTCATTTGAGGCTGAGTCGACCTAGGAGAGGCCCAGGACCGGTTCAGATAACACTGGTCAACATTTTTTTAGCGATGAAATGTGCTGCAGAATTCAAATGTGACAATCGAAACAACTGATTGGCTACTGTTTCCAAGATATTTAAGTTTTTACATTTTACGTCTATATATATTGTGTAGATAGTAGAGTTTTACTCATACATTGTAAACCTAGGTCTTGTCATGTGTTTATGGTTGCTTTACATGATAACATGTCACCTGTCCTGTTTATGTAGCACTTTAAAAAATCAGCAAAATGGCTACATAGATACAATTTATTATGAAACAAAAGGCAAACAACGATTATACATATGTAAGTACACAGTTTAGTCCTCATTCAGTGTCTACCCGGCACTGAATTGTGCAGTCTCTTGTATCGCTGTCACTGGTGTTGGCCATGAGCAGGAATCGAACTCGGGTCTCTGCCGGAGTCCGTAGCGCAGCGTGGCGCTAACCTCTTCACCGCCGCCTCCCCCGATCAGCGGCCGATAAAGTGCGGTTGCGATGACGTATGCACACACACACACACACACGTGCGTACACGTGTGTGTGCGAGTGCATCCATTCCGATGACGTGGTACGTACACGCGTGCACATTGTTAAAATTAAATCGGGAGAAAAACTGAAATGAAATAACTGTGATGTTTTTTTCTTTCCACTCGCAAAATCAGCATCCACCATTTACTTGCCACTAGGGGTAGTCTCTCTGTGATCCTACAAAGTCATTGGCCTCTGCGTTACCCAGGCAACCGTCATTGGCCTCTCCGTTACCCAGGCAACAGTCATTGGCCTCTCCGTTACCCAGGCAACCGTCATTGGCCTCTCCGTTACCCAGGCAACAGTCATTGGCCTCTCCGTTACCCAGGCAACCGTCATTGGCCTCTCAGTTACCCAGGCAACCGTCATTGGCCTCTCCGTTACCCAGGCAACCGTCATTGGCTTCTGCATTACTCAGGCAACTGTCATTGGCCTCTCCGTTACCCAGGCAACCGTCATTGGCCTCTCTGTTACCCAGGCAACCGTCATTGGCCTCTCCGTTACCCAGGCAACCGTCATTGGCCTCTCCGTTACCCAGGCAACTGTCATTGTCCTCTCTGTTACCCAGGCAACCGTCATTGGCCTCTCCGTTACCTAGACAACTGCCATTGGCCTCTCCGTTACCCAGGCAACCGCAATTGGCCTCTCCGTTACCCAGGCAACCGCAATTGGCCTCAGGCGTTCCGATGTCTCCCATGAGCACCTTGCACTCCTGTCTCGTGTCCCGTCGCCCCGCCTGGGTCAGTGCGTCAGCTGCGGCTGCAGCTGCGGCTACATCGTTTCGGGCCCGGTAGCCAAAGCAGCGGCCCACGACACGACTCTGACGGAGTGGGTAGCATAGGCGCGATGGGCACAGCACCGCTGTCAGAATGGTGAGAACAAGGAGGGTGACCGCAGCTGCCACAATCCCTGCGACTGCTGCCGGCGACAGGGGAGTGCCACGTCCCTCATTACCTGCGTCGGCACACACACGGGCACATGCACGCCCACAAACACGCGCACGCATGCACGTAAACACGCAAAAATGCACACATGCACAAACACACGCACACATGCTTGCAAGCACGCACGCGCACGCACACACCCACAAACACACGCAAACGCAAGCAAGCAAACAAGCAAGCACAACAACCGCCATTCGCCACAAAGTGGCGGTAACGTCACCACAGTGCTTGTGCCAGGCCATGTGCACCTTGAGGCCACGTGAAGTGTCGAACGCCCGCTGTAAGGTCACGGGACAGACCCAGCAGGTGCCATCGGTCGACTGTGTTTTAGATGCCCGGCATTTCACTCGTTGTTGTGAGCGTCGCTCCTCTGCCCTCCGTTGTTGTTGGAGGGCGACTGCCTCCAACTGCCCAGCAAAGTCCTTCACGAGCCTCCTCCACAGAGGCCGATCTTAACACCACTGGTACCAGTTATCGGCAAGTCCACTCAGCTCCACATCCTCTTCTACCACATCCTTGTGTGGAGCGACAGACCAGGTAGCTTCCACACACAGCGTTACGCAGCCAATGAAAAGATAATGCCGCTTGCCTGATTCGGAGTGAGACCTCTGCTGTCAATCCGGAGCCGGTCATGAACAAACTGCCCAGGTATGGAATACTCTCCACTCTCTTCACAAATGCCCTATCACCAATTGAGAGTTGTGGGGGTGGAGTGTCTGATGGTACTAATACCCAGGCAGGTGCTTAGTGGCACGCTCCAGGTTCAGTAGCAGCACTTCCAACTCATCCTCTGAGTGAGCAGCAATTACCAGATCATCGGCATGCATAACATGGTTGAGCAATAGGGGGCCATTCACTGACCGCACCCAGGCATCGATCAGCCTCCCAATGTATTTGTACCAGATGGAGATTCCTCAGGTACAGCTATTGAAGGCTTCACGAACTATGTGGTCAAAATAGATGTTAAATAATGTGGGAGCCAGAGGGCATCCCTGTTGCACCCCACGGTGAACAGGGAATGGCTCTGACTCCCGGCCACGTAGTTTTACCCGAGCCTGCCCACCATCATGAAGGTCCTTAATAATTGTGAGCAGAGGGTCAGGTACTCTGAAAAGATGAAGACCAACCCAGAGCCCAGGCCTACTGATGGTATCATAGGCCTTGACCAGGTCAATAAAGCAGAGATGTAGGTCTTGTTGCAATTCCCTACACCTCTACTGTAGCAGACGGACAGAAAAATATGGCATCTGTGTAGGACCGCCCTGTCCTGAAAACACGCACACACAGACAGACACACACGCGCACGCACACAAATGTCTGCCAGGTAGTGCTGTGTGGGTGAGCGCGTGGTTCATGCCAGCGTTGGCGCACGAGGGGGTCCCGGCTATCTGTCTCCGTAGCGCCCAAGTGGTTACACACGGTACTACGTCCTCGTTTGAGATGGAGTCGACCGCGGGGTGGGGGGGGGAGGGGAAGGGCAGGGGGAGTTCAGCGCTGGATTTGAGGTCAGGTCACCACCGACGTGGGGCTTGGCCGTGAATCGAACTCAGGTGGCCGAGTTTGTAGCGCGGTGCACTAAGCCCTGCAATCACCGAGACCCACACGTGTCACCGTCGGCCATGATCAATCCACTGCTGGATGAAGGTCATCTGTATCTCCCATGAGTCTATAATCTGTCCAGCTAACCTGCACTCGAGCCGATTAAATTAATTGCTGTGACGAGAGGTAAGAGTGACGATGTGTAGAGTGACGAGAGATGAATCACACGCGAGTGTGCGAGACGCGTGTGTGCGTGCATACGTGCATTACCGGTCAGCGTAGCGCAGACAGCGTTGGCGATTTCGCTGCACGGGGATGCCTCAACGTCGCACCTGCGCATGCACACACGGACAACGATCCTCACCACCACCACCACCTCCCATGTAGCAGCCTCTAACAGAGTGTTCGAGGCAAGTGGCTGTTAGTAGCGAGTAGCAGCAGCAGTGCCTATGAAGGCCACCAGCACCGTGACACACGCGGAGGGGGTGGGTGGCCAGCACCACCACGGCCGGCGGCCTTTGTCACCCCAGTGGCGATGGTTAACATAGCGAGCAAGTGGGTGGGTGGGTGGGCAGGTGAGTGGGTGAGCCAGTGGGTGGGTGGGTAAACGAGTGGGTGGGTGCATGAATGAGCCTGCGAGTCGGTGGGTGAGCGAGTGGGTGGGTGGATGATCGATTGGGTGTGTGGATGAACGATTGGGTGGGTGGGTGAGCGAGCGGGTGGGTGAGTGAATGAGCGAGTGGGTGGGTGAACGAGCGGGTGGGTGAGTGAATGATTGGGTGGGTGAGTGAACGAGCGAGTGAGTGAGTGAACGAGCGGGTGGGTGAGTGAACGAGCGGGTGGGTGGATGAATGAGCGGGTGGGCGGATGAACGAGCGGGTGGGCGGATGAATGAGCGGGTGGGTGGATGAACGAGCGGGTGGGTGGATGAACGAGCGGGTGGGTGGTTGAACGAGCGGGTGTGTGGATGAACGAGCGGGTGGGTGGATGAACGAGCGGGTGGGTGGATGAACGAGCGGGTGGGAGGATGAACGAGCGGATGGGTGGATGAACGAGCGGGTGGGTGGATGAACGAGCGGGTGGGTGGATGAACGAGCGGGTGGGTGGATGAACGAGCGGGTGGGTGGATTAATGATTGGGTGGGTGAGTGAATGAGGGAGTGGGTGAGTGAACGAGCGAGTGAGTGAGATGAACGAGCGGGTGGATGGACGATTAGGTGGGTGGATGAACGAGCGGGTGGGTGGATGAATGATTGGGTGGGTGGGTGAGCGAGTGGGTGGGTGAACGAGCGGGTGGGTGAGTGAACGAGCAGGTGGGTGGATGAGCGAGTGGGTGGGTGGGTGAGCAAGCGGGTGGGTGAGTGAGCAGGTGAGCGAGCGGGTTGCCGACCGACTCACCGCGTGCAGTTGTTGCATTTGAACCCGGAGCTGTAGGAGCCGGCAGGACATGGGGAGCACTCACTCAGGAAGTCCATGTCACTACCTGAGACGCACAAACACGGGAACACTCAACTCCAGCTGCTGCCATCGCTTTACCGTCCAGAAAGAGACGGAGGGGAGGACAAAAATAAGTGCGATACCTATGGGACCTTTTTGCCAGTATCAAAGTATGAAAAATTAAAAAAATAAAAGCTTTTACCATTTCTGGCAATCAAACGAGTGGCTGGTGTTAACTGCGACAAAGGGGGAAACCTGTTCTTATTTATCATAATTTGATACTGGTAGAAAGGGTATCCCATGTTAAAGCTGCTGCTCACCCAGAGTTATAAATTATCTGATATGTGGCATTGTCCTGGTACTGTCCAACTTTTGTCGTCGTTCTCTGCTCTGACACAGCTGGTGAGACTGGAGCCATAAGGAACAAGGCTGCTGTTTCTGGTGTGGGCCAATCCGTTTCAAAGACGATGCAGAGATTATTACCAGACCATGTCTGTTTGCATGTTCACCACAAGTGCCGTGTGTGGTTAATGCAGGCTTGATGATGCCGTGCAATAGGTGTGTGTGTGTCTATTTGGTGTTTATGGGGAGCCGTAGTGTAGCGGTTAGCGCTACGCTGCGCTATGAACCCAGCGACCCGAGTTCGATTCCCGCTCACGGCCAACACCCAGTGACTGTTTATCTAAACCGGTCCTGGGCCTCCCGTAGATCGACTCAGCCTCAAATGAGTGCCTGGTGCGGTGTGTAAACATCGTCACTGGGGGAGACAAAGACGGCCGGGCGAGGTGCTGGCCACCCACCCCCTCGTGTGCCGTGCCGGCATTCATAGGTGCTCGCTAACAGCACTATACAAGGGGAATCTTCGTTCTTTGTTATTTGGTGCTTGAACATCCTTTGTTATTGCCATCTTTTTGATAATAATTATTGTCTTCAAAAAGCGACTTTACAAAACACTCGTGGGGAGACTACAGGTGCAGCATCGCCCAAGACGGTTGCCGCTGCGCTGCTTCTGTGGCCGTCTGGAACGCTCTCTTCCTCCATCCGATATTCAGGAAGCCACCGGGGAAATCAATGCTGCCACTTTTAAATCATCATCCAAGAGCTGACGCAGAGAAACTGCTGTACGCTACACTACGCTAAACACTGCCGTACACTACACTACGCTTAACACTGCTGTACACTACATTACGCTAAACACTGCTGTACACTACACTACGCTTAACACTGCTGTACGCTACACTACGCTAAACACTGCTGTACACTACACTACGCTAAACACTGCTGTACACTACACTACGCTAAACACTGCTGTACACTACACTACGCTAAACACTGCTGTACACTACACTAGTACACTACACTACGCTAAACACTGCTGTACACTACACTACGCTAAACACTGCTGTACGCTATACTACACTAAACACTGCTGTACACTACACTACGCTAAACACTGCTGTACACTACACTACGCTAAACACTGCTGTACACTACACTACACTAAACACTGCTGAACACTACACTACACTAAACACTGCTGTACACTACACTACACTAAACACTGCTGAACACTACACTACACTAAACACTGCTGTACACTACACTACACTAAACACTGCTGTACACTACACTACGCTAAACACTGCTGTACACTACACTACGCTAAAGACTGCCATACACTACACTACGCTAAAGACTGCCATACACTACACTACGCTAAACACTGCTGTACACTACACTACGCTAAACACTGCTATACACTACACTACGCTAAACACTGCTGTACACTACACTACGCTAAACACTGCTGTACACTACACTACGCTAAACACTGCCATACACAACACTAAACACTGCTATACACTACACTACGCTAAACACTGCTATACACTACACTACGCTAAACACTGCTATACACTACACTACGCTAAACACTGCTGTACACTACACACGCTAAACACTACTCTACACTACGCTAAACACTGCTATACACTACACTACGCTTAATACTGCTGTACACTACACTGCTATACTGATACACACTACACTGCTGTACACTGCACTGCTATACTACACAATACACTACTGTACTATACACAACACCACTTTACCCTACACTACTATACTAAATTGAAAACTCATTTCTTTAGAACTGCTTTTTGTATTTAGTTTGTTGTCCTTCTCCTGCACCTCCAATTAGCGCGGTTGGGCTACGTACCGTGCGAAAGAAGTTCTACATACACACACAGCGACTCAAAGTGTGTACTATGCCAACCTGCTGTGCTTTAGCCACCCGGCGCTCCGCTCGTTGTTGTGAGCGTCGCCCCTCACCCCTCCGTTGTTGTTGGAGGGAGACTGCCTCCAACTGCCCAGTAGCGTCCTTCACGAGCATCCTCCACAGAGGCCGATCTTGACACCGCTGGTACCGGTCATTGGCAAGTCCACTCAGCTCCACGTCCTCCTGCACCACATCACTCCATCTCCTCTCTAGCCCGTGCCACGCCCATTTAGCCCCCTCTATCCGGCTGAACAAAAGCTGTTTAGGCATGCGGTGACTGGGCATGCGGGCTACATGACCCAGCCAACGTAGCATTGCCTGCCGGAGGAGCTCACCGATGGGACTTTGTCCAAGTATTTCAAGGATTTGCGAGCTCCTCACACAATCCAGCCAGGTTAAACCCAGAATTGATTGTAGGCAGGCCAGCCTAAATTTTTCTAACCGGCGAAGATGTTCCATTAGGGGGGGTCCACGTTTCACAAGCGTAGAGAAGGAAGGGAATTACTGTGGCCGAGAAGACTTGAAGCTTTGCGCATAGCGACAGACCAGGTAGCTTCCACACAGCGTCACACAACCGATGAAAAGATATTGCCCCTCGACTGATTCGCAGACCTCTGCTGTCAAACCGGAGCCAGTCATGAGCACACTGCCCAGGTATGGGAAACTCTCCACTCTCTCCACAACTGCCCTATAACCAATTGGGAGTTGTGGGGTTGGAGTGTCTGATGGTACAAAATACCCAGGCAGGTGCTTAATTTTGGTGGGGCTGATGGTAAGGTCCCACCTCTTAGTGGCAAACTCCAGGTTCAGCAGCAACGCATCCAACTCCTCCTCTGAGTGAGCAGCATTTACCAGATCATTGGCATACATAACATGGTTGAGCAATAGGGAGCAATCCCTTGACCACACCCGGGAAACGATCAGCCTCCCATTGTATTTGTACCAGGTGGTAATTCCTCTGGCATAGCGATTGAAGGCTTCACGAACTACGTGGTTGAAACAGATTCCCTGTCGCACCCCAAGGTGTACAGGGAATGGCTCTGACTCCCGGTCATGTAGTTTTACCTGGGCCCGCTCACCATCATGAAGGTCCTTAATGATTGTGACCAGAGGGTCAGGGAATCCGAGAGCACGAAGAACAACCCAGAGTCCAAGCTTACTGATAGTATCATAGGCCTTGACCAGGTCAATAAAGCAGAGATATAGGTCTTGTTGGAATTCTCTATACCTCTGCTGTAGCAAAAGCACAGAAAATATGGCATCTGTGCAGGACCGCCCTTTCCTGAAACCACATTGGGGCTCCGCAAGACTCTCCTCAGTGTGCCTGGCAAGGCGATGTTGAATAATCCTTGCCAGGACCTTTCCTGGCACACTAAGGAGTGAGATGCCACTGTAGTTGTTACAGTCTGTGCGGTCCCCCTTCTTAAAGAGGGGGACCACCAGGACATCCTTCCAATCCTGCAGAACTTGTGCAGTGGTCCAAACTGTTGTTATGATGTCATGTAGGGTAGTCTGTGCACAAACGCCACCCTCCCTCAGCATTTCGCTTGGGAGATCATCTCTGCCCGGTGCCTTTCCTGGTCTCACACTCTGGATCGCCCTCAGTGCTTCCTCAACAGATGGCACCTCAGCCAGCCACTTACAGGGGGTGACTTCTCCCAATATTTGAGGCACCGCAGCCTCAGCAGGGCCATGCCCAGTTTGTCCCACGATGTTTTCCAGGATGAGGGATTTGCCCTCCCCCAGGACCTCACAGAAATACTAAGCAAATCTGCAAACCTATTCCTGGAGGTCGGAGATTGGATCACCGTTCATTCCCCTAATGATGGTAATAGGTGTGGCGCTGCAAGTTACTTTCATGATGGAATTAAAGAGCGATTTGTGATCGCGGGCCATTGAGGCAGACCCCATCTCCTCAGCAACCCGCGACCACCACCCATCCTTGCAGTGCCTCACGGCTCTCCGAAACTCTGAGCGAAAGCTGCAGTAAGCCTCCTCATTCTCCGACGTGGGATGCTGTAGATGATGAGAGTGGGCCTGTCGCTTTTTCTCAGCCAGCGTGAACACCTCCTCTGTCAGCCAGGGTCTCTGGAGAGGTCTGGACTGAGTACCCAATGCAGCCATTGCAGCTGCCTGAGCCACAGTCCCAAACCTCGCCCATTTCCCCTCGACATCGGGAGGCGTGGGGGATGATGCCAACCCCAGCCGCAAGCGATGATAAAATTCTCGCTTGCAACATTCACGAGCTAGCTGAGACCAGGCCAATAAGGGTTGAATGGGGTCCTGGGTATACACCCACCACCGGAGTGGAAGAATGCCAGGCGCATCTTACAGATGACTAGTCGATGGTCACTGGGCAGATCAGCTCCACGGTAGGTCCTGGTGTCATGGACATGGGCCCGCATCCGCTGGTCCGTCACTATGTAGTCCAGCAGATGTTCTTGCTTGGACCCGGCATGCATCCGTGATGTTATGTGGATGCGCCAATGCCGGAACAGCGTGTTGGTAATTACAAGCCCATGGGCTGCACAAAAGTCTAGCAGCCTCCTGCCGTTGTTATTGAGCTGATCTGGCCCATACCTTCCAATCACTCCAGACCAGGTGCCAGCATCGTGACCAACTCGGGCATTAAAGTCACCCAATAAGATGACTCTATCCCGAGGGGCCACTTTAGCTAGCGCCTTTGAAAGGTCATAGAAGACATTTGACTCATCAGCCATGCCTGCATCCCTCCACGGATGTTCGTCTTCGGTGGGGGCATAAGTAACCATGACAACCACTCCTCACCTCTGGTTGATGGGAAGGCAAGCCCAGAGTAGCCTGGGGCTTACAGCTTCCAACACCTCACTGCCATGCTCCCATGCCCACTTAATAATTTTGTTCAGAAGAAGAGTTACTCCCTGTTGTTTGGCAGTCTCCTGACCCGAGTAGAGGACTGTCAACCCCTCATGGTGACAGGAGCCAGAGCCGGTCCACCGGACCTCCTAAATACCTCAGAGATCCAGGCGGTACCGGTCCAGCTCCCGACAGAGGAGTGGCAGCCTCTGCTCCGCAGTGAGCGTTCGAACATTCCACGTGGCCATCCGTCGTGGCTTTTTGCTGTTTCTGGAGGAACTCTGAGGCCAAGGATTCAGTCTCCTGGCTCCACCAAATGGGGTTTGGCCAGGAGATGTCATAGACGCCTGTTCTCCCGGGGCTTCCGGCACAAGCTGATTAGGATATATTTTTTGTGGTTTAGTGCGCACACACACACACAGACACTCAAACAAAGCCATGCACACACACAGACACACACACAGATACAGACACAGATACAGACACATACACACAGACTCACATTTCTTGGTGACCTCATGACCTGGCCGGCAGTTGGGGCAGCACCAGAACCTGGAGCCTTTTTCGATGAATAAAACCTTGTAGGTGCCCTCCCCACAGCCGCACCTGTCAGCCAGATTGCACCATCGTGCTCGAATATATCATCATCATCATCATCGTCGTCGTCATCGTCGTCATCGTCGTCATCATCGTCATCACCACTGTGGGATGTTCAGAGCGTGTAGCCTGTAATAGACTGTCGGGGCAAGTGGCTGTTAGTAGCGAGCAGCAGCAGCACTTCTGAAGGCCGCCAGTACAGCACACAGAGAGGGGGTGGGTGGCCAGCACCACCACACATTCCCCACGGCCTTTGTCTCTGCAGTGGCGATGTTTACTATGCGGTCCCTACAAAGTCACCAAACAAGATGATTATCCAGCACCTGGGAAGGAGGTCAAAGAAGGCGTCCGACTCAGCCGTAACCTGCATCTAAACGTATTGGCAGTACACCAGTGGTGTGTGTGTGTGGCATATACAGTTGACTCTCGATTATTCGCATTTGCAGTTTATCCGATTTGTGGATTAACTGCAAGCACCTGAGATTTTGACATAAATTAACAAAGCGTGGATTTCACTTTAAGCCCAAATTGTGTGATTCTTGGAAATGTCCGTTACAAGTCACACACGCTCCGGTTAATCCGAAATCCACGCGATCGCCCCTACAGTACAGTAGTTGCCATATCTTTACAATGGTGGGGCAGAGTTTGATTGACGTCTGATTGGCAGTTGCTCTGCCGTCATCCACTCGGTGGGCCGAGTCTCGCGCTGCCCGGGAGGAAGCCAGGAAATTATCATCGCTGAGCACGCGCATCATTGATAGATCGACCGGTCGTTAATCATTCGTTCTAAATCGAGTCAATCGAAATCGCCAGCTGCGCTTCGTTTGGAGCGATTTATTTCGTGAGCTATGATTCACGAAACTGTGCGATGGCAGAGGAATGGAAGTTTGTCACTTTAACTTAAAAAAATCAGAAACTGGATATTGTATACGTACATTGGACGACATAACTTATGCCGACATTAGTGGTTTTTGGCATAGAGAATTCTGCAGATAATGGTTGCATTTTTAGATTGCCCGTGATGTTTTAATTTTCCACTAGGCCGTCTTCCCTGTCATAGGTGTGCCCAGGCGTACATATAAGAGTTTTTTTTATAGTGTTAAAGGCTATATGGGAGGGGGATCTTTGTCTTATAGTAGTGTCGCCGGAAGCATGTGACGGGTGCTTTCAGGAGGTGTGTGTAGACTCTGCGTGTGTCCGTGTGTCCAGGTGTGACTCGGGGAGCGGTGGCACAGCGGTTAGCACGCTGCGCCGCACCACAAACCCGCAAGAGACCAGAGTTCGAATCCCGCTCACGACCACCAACACCAACAGTGATAGCGATTGTTTGAACAACCGGTCCCTGGGCCTCCTCCCCGAGGTCGACTCCGCTTGAAATGAGTAGCTGGTTCTATGCATAAATATCGCCACTTGGAGGAGGCAAAGGCGGTTGGGCGTGCATGGTGCTGGCCACCCACCCCCTCGTGTTGCCACAGTGCCGGCCTTCATAGGCGCTGCTGCTACTTGCTCACAGCACTTGCCCAACAGTCTGTTACAGGCTACACGGGGGGCGGGGGAGCTTTGTCTTTGTGTGCATGTATGTGTGAGTGCGTGTATGCTTGTGTGTATGTATGCGAGTGTTCGTGGATGCGTGTGTGTGAGCGTGCGTGTGCGTGCGTACGCGTGCGTGTATGCGAGCGTGCGCGCGTGCGTGCATGCGAGCGTGTATGTGTGCGTGTATGTTAATCGCACCCAACACTAATCGACGTACCGCGTGTCTTCCATCGGCGAGCACGGTCCAGTCACGAGCTGCTTGTAAGCTGGAAGGAGGATTCGGCACAAAAATCGCAGCGTTAGCTCGCGTAGATACAAATGCGTCATTAAACCCGCCGCCACCACCCAACAGGGCCAATGAGTAAAGGGGGTTTGTCACGTAAACAAAAATGGCCCAATTCGTTACGAGTGTAGTGACGCAGTTCGGAGACAGTGGGAGACACCTTTAATTCTCAGGGGCCGTCCATAAATGACGTCACGCGATTTTGGACGATTTTTGACCCCCCCCCCCCTTTGTCACACATCGGCACAAATATCTGACCCCCCCCCCCGCCCAGGTGCATGACGTCATGCACCTACACACAATGGGGACTATACCAATCCTACGTGGGTGTACACTATATATATACACTACAAACACAACCGTCTATCGTCGGCAGGCTGTCGAGCTAGCGGCGCCCAGCGATGGTGAAGACGGCAACGGCGATGGTGGCGAGACAACGGCACGGCGAGGGGATCCGCTTCCAGCAACAGCCCCGAGCTCTCGCTCAGGGCTCCCCTCGAATGCTCCCGGCGTGGCCTCGCTCCGCCCTGGCCACGCCCCCCTTCTAGAACCTCCTAGCAGGTTCCCGGGGCTTCCTGATGGACCCCTCCATGAACTCTGCTCTAGTTGTCTTCCCCCCCGTGTATACCGTCGTCCTGCTGACGTGTTTACTGCCGTACACTGCAGTTACTACTTTCAGTCAGCAGCTAGCGCTGTTTCTCTACGCTAGTGCAGCACGAACCGCTAGTGTTGGAGAGTAAACCCACTAGAACATTGACAATTCGAGTGCAGTGACGTTTCGCCAGTAATGACGACATCGCATCTATCCCTCTGTTTAAGACCAAAACAGGAGGGAGGATTTCTCCACAAACTCTGTGGCTTGTCGCCTGATGATGCCGATTGTCTTTGTAATCACCAGCGAAACGTAACAGTACTCGAATTGTAAATGTTGTAGGGGTTTAATCTCCACTTTTATATTCATGCGATCTAACCCAAAAACCTCCGTAACCTCCATATTTAGTACAGTAAAACCTTGGATTGCGAGCATAATTCGTTCAGCACTCGCAATCCAAAGCACTCGTAGGTCAGTTGTGATCACGTGACGCTCGGCAGTACAAAGCGTGTCTACACGTGCACTGCTGCTCGTATTTCAAGACCCTCGCTCGTTTATCAAATTAATATTTATTACAAATTTTTGCTTGTCTTGCAAAACACCCGCAGACCAAGTTACTCGCAATCCAAGGTTTTACTTTTTATATAGATACGAAATGGTGTGCGCCCATTTTAGTCCGTATATCATTCAGGGCCCGCGAGCTGTTTTGGACGCCTTAAACGATTTACTTATAGTGGTCGCGGCTTAGCACCAACCAGGCACCGCTTTCAGACGCCTTGCAGTGCACAGTAAGCTACGTCCACCGGTGGGAGAGGGCATGGAATTGTTTTCCATCGTTCAGTTTGGGTGCCTGCAAATCACTGCACTGTGTGGCGTCGTTTTTATTTTGCCCGCCTGCTCTATACATACACGTGTGTGTTGAAATTTGTTCGTGGTGAACCATAGCCACCCACGCTAACCGGAGGGGGTGGAGGCAGAACAACAAACTGTGGGTCTCTGCGCGAGTCTGTGGGTCTCTGTGTGAGTCTGTGGGTCTCTGTGTGAGTCTGTGGGTGTCTGCGCGAGTCTGTGGGTGTCTGCGCGAGTCTGTGGGTCTCTGTGTGAGTCTGTGGGTGTCTGCGTGAGTCTGTGGGGTCTCTGTGTGAGTCTGTGGGTCTCTGCGTGAGTCTGTGGGTCTCTGTGTGAGTCTGTGGGTCTCTGTGCGAGTCTGTGGATCTCTAGGTGAGTCTGTGGGTCTCTGCGCGAGTCTCTGGGTCTCTGTGCGAGTCTATGTATGTTGAACTTCTGTCGCACCATACGTAACCAACCGTGCTAATCGGAGCTGCGGTGGGAAAGGGCAACAAACTAAACACAACAACAAGTGGTGCTAAAGAAATTAGTTTGCCAATCTAGAGGCTGATTTTCAAAGTGCATAGCTCCAAGTGGCTTCCTAACATTCGAATGGAAGAGCGTTCCAGACGGCCGCAGAAGCGCATCTGCAAGCGCCGCGCGACGATGCGGCGACTGCCATCTTTTGTTCGACAGCAGAGCCAAAAGCCGCCACAGCTGCCGGCGAGGATGGTGAGCGGAGTTCGGGTGACCGATGGTTTATAGCCCCTTGACGAGATCAGCAGCGAGGTGTGGACGTGGTTCATTTGCGGCAACCACCTTGTGCGTGCAATGAGCGCGACCTCATAAAACGCATCCCCCCTCGGCAACTGCAAGCCAATGAAGCTCATCATTAGACCTCCTTTGCCGGTACCAAAATATAATAATAGGGTTTTTCCACTTTTTTCTGGCAACAAAACTGAAACCTCACCCCGAGCCCTCATCACTTTGATAGTGGCATTGTCTTTGAGCTGTGTAACGCCTTTTGGCGTCATCTGGTCGAGCACCAATTGGGTCGAGGCTCAAAAGAAATCCGTCCCTTGGAATGGACCAATCAGTTTCAAGGACAATGCCACATATATTATCATAGTATGTTTTTTGTTTGCATTTTGACTGCAGGTATTGTGGTTAACGCAGTAAACATGAATCCTCGTAAAAAAGGTTTCAGTTTTGTTGCCAGAAAAAAAGGAGAAAAACCTCTATTATTATCCAATGAAGCTCGGCAAGCACCAGACGGACCTACGGTCAGATCTTGCAGCAGTGCCCCCCAACGCGACGTTACGAGGCAGAAACGCCCACGGAGCAACCGATGGCGTTACCTTTGTTGCAATGCTTGCAGGGCATGCACCTGTGGACGCTGCTGTGCACAGGGCTGTAGGAGTTCTCTGGGCAGGGCTCGCAAACAGTGGGAGATGTGGCGTTGCACGGGCTCACCCTGAGCTGCCCTGAAATGAAACAAAAAAACAAGCGCCGTACAGGAACCTAAGGGCCCCTTCTTCAACTACCTCTCCTCTGGTGGACATTGATTCTTAAGGGCATTCATGAGGGCATTTAAGCACTCCCCCTTCTCCGAGAGGTGTATCGGAGCTTAGGGGGGTTGTGGAGCTACCTAAACAGTTTATTGAAACGTGCGGTTTACATTGCACCGCAATCCGTGATGTGTGGGTTTTGTGCTGGTGTCACAAGCCCCTCTGGTGTCCCCTCGTTGTTGTGTCGTCTACCTGAAATCAGTTTGTTCATAATTACAAAAAACTTTGGGAGAACAAAAATTCTCCCCGCAGGAAGGCCGACGGGCTAATTGGGTGGGGGGCAGCATGGGGTGATTGGGGGTGGTCGAATGCGCAAACTCGCGATCATCATTCATTTTTGGTTAACGGTGGTACGGCGATCGTGTAACGACGCAATACCCCCCACTCCGATCCACAAATACAAAGGAGACATCATAGGCTCACGCAGAGACCCAGAGACTCGCACAGAGACCCATAGACTCGCACAGAGACCCATAGACTCGCACAGAGACCCATAGACTCGCACAGAGACCCATAGACGCACACAGAGACCTAATGATTCGCACAGAGACCCAAAGACTCACACAGAGACCCATAGACTCGCACAGAGACCTATAGACGCACACAGAGACCTATAGACTCGCACAGAGACCCATAGACTCACACAGAGACCCATAGACTCACACAGAGACCCATAGACTCGCACAGAGACCCATAGACCCGCACAGAGACCTATAGACTCGCACAGAGACCCAGAGACTCACACAGAGACCTATAGGCTCGCACAGAGACCCATAGACTCGCACAGAGACCCATAGACTCGCACAGAGACCCATAGACGCACACAGAGACCTAATGACTCGCACAGAGACCCAGAGACTCACACAGAGACCCATGGACTCACACAGAGACCCATGGACTCACACAGAGACCCACAGAGTCACACGGAGACCCATAGTTTGTTGTCCTTCCCCCCGCACCTCCAATTAGCACGGTTGGCTACGTATGATGCGAAAGAAGTTCAACATACATACGTACTACACTGCACACTACACTACAACACATACCACCTGACAGAGACCAATTAGCAATGTGACTTTTATCCACTTCGAAATTCAACACAAAACTCAAGTTTCCTGTTACTCTTTGCAGGCTTTGAGAGTGTTGTTTGTCCAAGTTTCTCCTTTGGTATTCCCTAGAGGCGGCGTTTCTCAAACTATTCGTTGGTCTGTGGCCCACTCTCCAGGTGCGGATGAAGGATCTTGCATTCCCTAGGCACTTCTGTTTCGTTTGGCCTTCAGTGAAAACTTTCCAACGGTTGGAACTGCCGCCCCATGTGTACAACTACTTCGACCGCTGTCACTGCGTATGTCTCACGCGGTACTTCGTCCAGCCGCTGGACAAGATGGCGTGCCTGCCTGACATGCCCACTATTGAGTCTGTGCCCTCGTTCAATGGTTGTGTGCCGTAGATAAGCAGATTTGATTAGAAACACTGTGCCTATCCTTGCTATCTATATATGTAAAAGGCTAAGTTGTGATTGTTGTGCGTCTGTTCAAAATGTTTAGCGTACTTCCCGACAGGCAACAAACTTGAAATTTGCCATGTGGGTACTTTTCAGACTGTACACAATGCAACAATAAAAAAAAAATACTTCTGTATATTTTTTTTTTGGGGGGGGGGGGGGCGCAATAATGGATATATTTTGCACGCAAATGAGCGGTGACGTCACATCTCTGTCATGTCACCCGCATGCGGCAGCGTGACGCAGTGTGCCTGCTGACATCACGCACCCCCCCCCCCCAAACCCTCCGCGAGTAAAGTGCCATACAAATGTGTTGCAGGTCGAAGGCGTTCTTCGCGCAGCATTGCTTTATTATTTGAGTCGTTTACTGCCGTACGCACCCTGAGAGTTTTGTGTGTGTCTGCAGCAAGCGCGTGTATGTGTGTACCTGTGGAAGCGCACGCGCATGTGTGTGTGTGTGGGGGGGGAACGGTAGAGTCGTGGTTAGCGCTACGCTGCGCTATGAACCCGGCGATCCGAGTTCGATTGCCGCTCACGGCCACCACCGGTGACGATCATTTGAACTGGTCCTGCGCCTCCCCTAGGTCGACTCAGCCTCAAACGAGTACCTGGTGCGGTGTGTAAACATCGCCACTGGGGAGACAAAGGCGGCCGGGCGTGCTGCTGCCCACCCACCCCCTCGTGTGCCGTTCCGGCCTTGATAGGCGCTCGCTAACAGCACTTGCCCCTACAGTCTCACAGGCTACACGGGGGATCTTTGTCTTTATCCTGTGTGTGTGGGGAAGGGTCAGTGACTGTGTAGCGGTAAGCGCGCTGCGCTACGAACCCGCCGACACGAGTTCGATTCCCGCTCACGGCCACCACCGGTGACGATCATTTGAACCGGTCCTGGGCCTCCCCTAGGTAGACTCAGCCTCAAACGAGTGTGTGGTGTGTGAACATCGCCACTGGGGAGTCAAAGGCGGCCGGGCGTGGTGAATCCAAGTCCCGGGGCGAAGCCGGGGTAGTACAGCATGTCTATAAATATATCAATTCAAGCAAGATATCTTGAGTTATATTTTCTTAGCTTACAAACAAAAAAACACGGTCAACATTTTTTTGTTCCTAGGCCCTTTAAGTTTTCGTAGGCCCTAGGCACAGTGCCTACAGTGCCTATTGGATAATATGGCCCTGACACTCTCAGACGATGCAAACATTTCAACTGACCAACCAGACAACCAGTCAGCCCGTGCCTCCAGCCCTGGTGACAAAACACATTCACCCATCTCTCTATCTCTAAATACCAGCAACTAACACAACATGATTCGTATTGCCGGGAGATAGATGTTAACTCCCTCGCCTGGTATGCAGGAGGTTCTAGATTTGAAGCTTTCGTGACTGCAAGGATCCATGCTCTTTGGTTTTATTCGGTAAAGTCACGTAGGTAAAAAATAAGATAACAAAAAATCACGACGTTTCGGCCACAACACAAGTGGCCTTCATCAGGTGAAGGGACCGGACTGTCTAGAGGACAGTGCTGGAGTGAGGAGAATGAGTGCAATACTCCGTCACAAAAAGCAAATATTTATTTCCCCTTAATGTGTTTGGAAATGGACCCAGTATATCCAATACCACCAGCTCGTTCACCCATGATACTGCGATCGACTACAGGGGAGTCTGTATGGGTTGGGAAGGAGGGTTCCTTTTAGCACAATCTTGACAACGATTTACGCACTCTCTGACATCCCCAGAAGGTCGTGATCACGACCTTCGTGATCTGAGCGTGGCTTCTTCCACTCCAGCGCTGTCCTCCAGACAGTCTCGTCCCTTCACCTGATGATGGCCACTTGTGTTGTGGCCGAAACGTCGTGATTTTTTGTTATTTTATTTTTTACCTACGTGACTCTACCGAATAAAACCAAAGAGCATGCAGGAGGTTGTTGGTTCGATCCCAAAACCTGACACCTGTTGTATATTTGGAGTCTGCGTCTCTCCCTCTCTTCCCGTGGTCGCGTGGATTTTTTTCTCCGGGTCCTCTGGTTTTTCTCTCCACATTAAGAATCAACATCGCGCATTTAGAGTATTTGGCCGCTAAACATGTCCACGTGATAAGCCACTTCCTTGAGCTGTCATCTGTGACGGCCAGGCCGCTTCTGAAAAAGAGCTACACCGCTCAGTGGGGTCTTATCTGGTAAAATAAAAACAGTTCAGTTTATATGCTTGGTTCTTTCGGTAAAGTCACCGCCACGTAGAAGGGAAACAATAAAATAAGAAAAATATAAAACAATAAAATTCTCACGACGTTTCGACTGCAACACAAGCAAGCATCATCAGGTGTGAAAACCACAACAAGAAAATTTGAAAAAAGTGGTTTTCACACCTCATGATGATTGCTTGTGTTGCAGTCAAAACGTCGTGAGAATTTTATTGTTTAATATTTTTATTATTTTATTGTTTCCCTTCTACGTGGCGGTGACTTTACCGAAAGAACCAAGAATATGAATCCCTGCAGTCATGAAAGCTTTAAATCAAAATTTAAAAAGTTCAGTTTATAGTTTAGATCCGGTTTGGGAACAGAGGTCTCACTCCAAATCATTCGAGTGGTATTATATTTTCGTCGGCTGTGGAATGCTGTATGGAAGCTATCTGGCCTGTCGCTCCAAATGAAGCATCGGGTCTTCTCGGCAATGGTCATGCCCTCCCTTATGTATGCTTACGAAACGTGGACCCACTACTATTGGAACATCTTCGCCGGTTAGAAACATTTCGGGCTGGCCCTGCCTACGATCCATCCTGGCTCTTTGGTTCTATTAGGTGACTTTACCGAATAGAACCAAAGAGTATGGATCCTTGCAGTCACGAAAGCTTCACATCTAGGATCCATCCTGGGTTTAACCAGGCTGGATTGTGCGAGGAGCTCACAAATCCTTGAAAGATCTGGACAGTCCCATCGGTGAGCTCCTCAGGCGGGCAAAGGCTGCGTTTACACAACACAAAAGACAAAGATCCTCCCGTGTAGCCTGCAACAGAATGTAGGGGCAAGTGCTATTAGTGATTAGCACCTACGAGGGCCGACACGGCACACGAGGGGGGTGGGTGGCCAACACCACGCCCGGCCGCCTTAGCCTTCCTTTGTGGCGATGTTTACACACCGCACCAGGCACTCATTTGAGGCTGAGTCGACCTAGGGGGAGCACCAGGACCGGTTTCCGACAATCGCTACCACCGGTGTTTTGGTATCAACCAACGAGTGGGAATTGAACTCGGGTCTCTGACGGGTTCGTAGCGCAGCGTAGAACTAACCGCAGCACACAGACACAGACACACCACACTTGGCGCACCCACCTGGGAGACACTTTTCACAGCAGGTTTCGTTGGACAGGTACTGGGTAGTCCAGTGGCAGCGAGACGCCGCCGTGACAGAGCCAATCAACACCGACCATACCTGACACAGCCACCAAAGATTCCCCATGTAGCCTGTAACAGACTGTCGGGGGCAAGTGTTGTTAGCGATTAGCAGCACCTATGAAGGCCGGCACTGTGGCACACGAGGCAATGGGTGACCAGCACCACGCCCCGGTCACATTTGTCTCCCCGGTGGCGACGTTGACTACACATCACCGCGCCAGGTGTTCATTTGAGGCCGAGTCGACCTAGGGGATGAGGCCCAGGACCGGTTCAAATGATCGTCACTGGTGTCCGAGTGGGAATCGAGCTCTTGTCGCCGGGTTCGTAGCGCAGCATACTAACCGCTACACCATCACCACCACCACCAACCAATCACCACATGCTCCCATGTACATAGAGATACCATCATCATTATCACGATCCATGGGCAGATAACCCCTAGTAAGTTGCATCCACTACTACAGTCCGTCATTCGTTGTTTCCACTTTCCTCTCTGTCATATAGTGCCGATATGCTGAAGTAGTGGCCACTGTCTTAGTAGTGTATATTGCAGTGTATAGTGTAGTGTATAATGTAGTGTATTGTAGTGTATAGTGTAGTGCATAGTGTAGTGTATAGTGCAGTGCATAGTGTAGTGTGTAGTGTAGTGTATAGTGTAGTGTATAGTGTAGTGTATAGTGTAGTGTGTAGTGTAGTGTATAGTGTAATGTGTAGTGTATAGTGTAGTGTATAGTGTAGTGTAGTGTATAGTGTAGTGTATAGTGTAGTGTATAGTGTAGTGCATAGTGTAGTGTATAGTGTAGTGTATAGTGTAGTGTATAGTGGTGTATAATGTAGTGTATAGTGTAGTGTATAGTGTAGTGTATAGTGTAGTGTATAGTGTAGTGTATAGTGTAGTGTATAGTGTATAGTGTGGTGTATAGTGTAGTGTATAATGTAGTGTATAGTGTAGTGTATAGTGTAGTGTATAGTGTAGTGTATAGTGTAGTGTATAGTGTAGTGTGTAGTGGTGTATAGTGGTGTATAGTGTAGTGTATAGTGTAGTGTATAGTGTATAGTGTAGTGTATAGTGTAGTGTATAGTGTAGTGTATAGTGTAATGTATAGTGTGTAGTGTAGTGTGTAGTGTAGTGTATAGTGTAGTGTATAGTGTAGTGTATAGTGTAGTGTGTAGTGTAGTGTATAGTGTAGTGTATAGTGTAGTGTATAGTGGTGTATAATGTAGTGTATAGTGTAGTGTATTGTAGTGTATAGTAGTGTATAGTGTAGTGTATAGTGTAGTGTATAGTGCAGTGTATCGTAGTGTATAGTGTAGTGTATAGTGTAGTGTATAGTGTAGTGTACCATAGTGTATAGTGTAGTATATAGTGTAGTGTATAGTGTAGTGTATAGTGGTGTATAATGTAGTGTATAGTGTAGTGTATAGTGTAGTGTATCGTAGTGTATAGTGTAGTGTATAGTGTAGTGTATAGTGTAGTGTATAGTGTAGTGTATCGTAGTGTATAGTATAGTGTATAGTGTAGTGTATAGTGTAGTGTATAGTGTAGTGTATCATAGTGTATAGTGTAGTGTATAGTGTAGTGTATAGTGTAGTGTATAGTGTAGTGTATAGTGCAGTGTATAGTGTAGTGTATAGTGTAGTGTATAGTATAGTGTATAGTGTAGTGTATAGTGTAGTGTATAGTAGTGTATAGTGTAGTGTATAATGTAGTGTATCGTAGTGTATAGTGTAGTGTATAGTGTAGTGTATAGTGTAGTGTATAGTGTAGTGTATAGTGTAGTGTATGGTGGTGTATAATGTAGTGTATAGTGTAGTGTATAGTGTAGTGTATAGTGTAGTGTATAGTGTAGTGTTTAGTAGTATATAGTGTAGTGTATAGTGTAGTGTATAGTGTAGTGTGTAGTGTATAGTAGTGTAGTGCTTAGTAGTATATAGTGTAGTGTATAGTGTAGTGTATAGTGTATTGTGTAGTGTATCGAGTAGTGTATCGTGTAGTGTATAATAGTGTAGTGTATAGCCTAGTGCCTTGCGTAGTGTATAGCATAGTGTATAACAGGATAGTGTATACTGGTGTAGCGTATAACGTAGTGTATAATAGTGTAGTGTATAATAGCGTAGTGCATATAACATAGTGTATAGTAGTGTATAGTGGTATATAGTGTAGCGCGTCGTGTATCGTGTACTGTAGTGCAGAATGGTGTAGTGTACCGTGCAGTGTATAGTATATACTAGTGTACTGTATAGTGTAGTAGTATACAGTGCAGTGTATAATAGTATATAGTGTAGTGTACAGAGTAATGTATAGTGTCATCTATCTAGAACACCACTAGAATTCACATCACTCACCACACAGCGCTCAATCCCATCTAGAACAGCACTAGAATTCACATCATTCACCACACAACTCTCTATCCCATCTAGAACACCACTATAATTCACATCACTCACCACAGCTCTCTATCCCATCTAGAACACCACTATAATTCACATCACTCACCACACAGCTCACTACCCCATCTAGAACATCACTAGAATTAACATCACTCACTACACAGCTCACTATCCCATCTAGAATACCACTAAAATTCATATCACTCACCACAGCTCACTCGGCCTTTACGAACACCACTAGAATTCACATCACTCACCACACAACTCTCTATCCCATCTAGAACATCACTAGAATTCACATCACTCACCACACAACTCTCCATCCCATCTAGAACACCCACTAGAATTCACATCACTCACCACAGCTCACCAGGCCTTCAAGAACATCATCAGCACTCACCAGGAGAGACAGCTGATGTATGGAGGATACCAGCGGTATCAAGGCGCCCTGCACCCTCTTGGCATCGCCTCCGCCCAATCTTTTGCTAAACCAGGAAGAAGAAAAAAAATCACACACGCGGGTGAACTTCAAAGTACTGTAGCGTTTTCCAGTATGCATTCTCTCGCTGTTTAACCCGCAAGTAGTCGTAGGCTTTGGCGAGCAATATAATCCATAATGGAGGGTTTACATTACTTAAGTACGTGACTGAAACCTTGGGTTGTGGGGTTTACTCTCCAACATGGAACCGGTTTAGTGAAAATACTTGTGCAAACTATTAATTCTACTTTTCTTATTTCTGGGTGGTATTGAGCTTCATGCTGGCCCAAATGTAAAGAACTCGTATAATTCTGCAGATTTTTCTGGCAGAAAAGGTGTTGGTGTTCTGCATGTCAACATCAGAGGGATTGTGACTAAATTAAGTCAACTAAAACTAGAAGTGGCAAATCTTGACCCAGACATTTCTTGCCTAACAGAAACATTTCTCACTCCTGCCGTCAATGACTTGCAGATTACGATTGACAACTACAACCTTTTTCGGCTTGACCGAGGATCTAAAGGAGGTGGAATTGGCATATATGTTCGTAATACTATTGCATGTTCACCAGCTCACTCCTTGTTTAAAAAATGTTGCTTTGAAGGTTTGGCTCTCAGAATAACTCTCCCAAATAATCAACAGATATTGGTAGTGTGCTGCTGTAGACCGCCTTGTGGGAAGGATGTTGAAGCTGCATCGGCACTGAGAGAGCTTTTTGGGGGCCTCCCTAAAGGTGAAATAGTTTTAGTGGGTGATCTAAATTGGAATTGGCTAAACCCGCCGGCCGTGGCCACAAATTTTACAGATGAATTTAACCTGTTTCAATTAATAAATGTCTCCACAAGACCCAACCTAAAAAATCCGGGACAGTCAACTCTACTTGACGTCCTATTGACAAATGCCCCTCACAATTTCGCACTGACTGGTGTTCTGGGTAATAACCTTAGTGATCACTCCTTCATTTTTGGGGTGAGATCATCAGCCAGACCCAAAGCCCCCCCTAAAATTGTTGAGAAGCACTCTTTGAGGCACTTCAGCACTCAGGCATTTACAAATGATGTGCTTCACTCGGATATTGATAAGGTCTGTGATATCCCCAACCTGACTACGGCTTGGGAGACTTTCAGGTACACGTTTCTCCAAATTCTTAACAAACATGCTCCGTTGGTTAGATTTAAAATAAAAGGCAACCGCCCACCATGGTATGATCCTTTGATTACAAAGCTAATGAAAACTAGGGACAAGGCTTGGGCATGTGCTCAGAAAAGTAATTTGGTAAATGACTGGCTAGAATACAGGATTTTAAGGAATAGATGCGTGAAAAAAATACGGCATGCAAAAAATGCCTACTTTTCCTCCACTCTCTTGGAATCACATGGAAATGCCAGGATTTTTTGGTAAACAATCAAATCTATCGAAAAGGCATCCAAAACAGACAATCTGCCCATTGAGCTTAACCGAAATGGGGAATATTTTTCAGATCCCCAAAAAATAGTTGACAATTTTAACCTTCATTTTTCTGAAGCTGGTAATCTTTTTGATAATGTATTGGGAGTCACCCCTGCTCCTGCAAATTCCTACACCCCTGTCCAATCATTAAACGAATTTAGTTTCCAACCAATCCACGAAAGTAATGTTCTGAAACAACTGTCCTACCTCAAAAGGTCCTCCTCTACCGGAGCAGATAGTTTTCCCGTCTTTGCTCTACTAACTGTTGGTCACCTAATATACAAACCTATAGCCCATATTTTCAACCTGTCCATCAAAGAAGCATCAGTTCCTCTAGAATGGAAACATTCCTATGTCTGTCCACTTCACAAAGGGGGCCCTAAAGATGATCCCAATAACTACCAACCTATCTCAATTTTGTCCCCATTGATGAAAATTTTTGAAAATTTATTGAACTACCAAATTAGCAGTTTCCTGTCCACCAACAATATACTACATCTAAAACAATCTGTGTTCCGAAAAAAATACAGCACCACATCTGCTGCATTAGACTCTTTGAATCAAATTTACAATAGCCTTGATAATAAGCAGTACTGTGCCTGTCTTTTTCTTGACCTGTCCAAAGCTTTTGATACAGTAGACCACAACACCCTGCTTAGTAAACTAAGTTGCCTCGGTTTTTCCGAGAATACAGTACAATGGTTAAAAAAATTACCTCTTTTCTCGCACCCAAACAGTATTCACAGATGGTTGGAGGTCAAACAGTGTTAAGATAACAAAAGGGGTTCCACAGGGTTCCATCCTCGGCCCCCTCTTGTTCTCTCTTTATGTCAATGACTTGGGCACTGACCCTGGATCATTCCAGGGTAAATCTTTTTGCAGATGACACGATACTGATTTAAAGCTTTCGTGACTGCAAGGATTCGTCTTCTTTGGTTCTTTCGGTAAAGTCACGTAGAATGAGAATAAAATAATAAATTAATAAAATAAAATAACACAATAAAATTCTCACGACGTTTCGGCCACAACACAAGCGGCCTTCATCAGGTGAAGGGACGAGACTGTCTGGAGGACAGCACTGGAGCGAACACAGCCAAGCTCAGACCGCGACCTTTAAGCTGTGTGAGAAGAAACAGAGCGCCTTGACAAAGGAATTAGCATAAAAATTAGCATTTAATTGGCAGAGTTAGCATGATGAATGGTGTAGAGGGGGTGAACATGTGCAGACCGGCGAGGGGGGGAGGGGGAGTTTACATATTGATGGTGTGAAAGGGGAATTTAAGCTGCTGCGAAAATTTGGGATACCATTACTTGAAAAAATATACTGTACCATTGAAAATTAGTTTAATGTTTGGTTCGGATAATTTAGCATTGAAATAGCTGCGTGATTAGCTTGTGACTGGTCACAGAAATGGCTATGTTAAAGCCACAGCCTACACATCCACAGAGGCACCTAGTACAAATCAAAACATGAGAATTTAGCATTGAAATAGCTGAGAGATTAGCCTGAACCTTAACCTGTAAATAATCCAAGGTCATCTCTGAACTGTGCTCCTAACACAGATATTCTGCGTTGACTTTTCCACCTGAAGATGGAAGCTTGTGTTGTCTCCGAAACGTTGTGATTTATTTTCTTTCATTTTGTTTTATTTTATCTACGTGACTTTACCGAATGAAACCAAAGAGTCTGACTGTCAACTTCAGAGAGAATCCCACACCAACACGCAACGGAATGGTCAACTTCAGAGAGACTCCCACACCAACACGCAACGGAATGGTCAACTTCAGAGAGAATCCCACACCAACACGCAACGGAATGGTCAACTTCAGAGAGAATCCCACACCAACACACAACGGAATGGTCAACTTCAGAGAGACTCCCACACCAACACACAACGGAATGGTCAACTTCAGAGAGAATCCCACACCAACACACAACGGAATGGTCAACTTCAGAGAGACTCCCACACCAACACACAACGGAATGGTCAACTTCAGAGAGAATCCCACACCAACACACAACGGAATGGTCAACTTCAGAGAGACTCCCACACCAACACACAACGGAATGGTCAACTTCAGAGAGACTCCCACACCAACACACAACGGAATGGTCAACTTCAGAGAGACTCCCACACCAACACACAACGGAATGGTCAACTTCAGAGAGACTCCCACACCAACACACAACGGAATGGTCAACTTCAGAGAGACTCCCACACCAACACACAACGGAATGGTCAACTTCAGAGAGACTCCCACACCAACACACAACGGAATGGTCAACTTCAGAGAGAATCCCACACCAACACACAACGGAATGGTCAACTTCAGAGAGACTCCCACAGAAACACACAACGGAATGGTCAACTTCAGAGATAATCCCACACCAACACACAACGGAATGGTCAACTTCAGAGAGACTCCCACACCAACACGCAACGGAATGGTCAACTTCAGAGAGAATCCCACACCAACACACAACGGAATGGTCAACTTCAGAGAGAATCCCACACCAACACACAACGGAATGGTCAACTTCAGAGATAATGCTGGTAGGAAACGTAGTGGACTGGAAGCCCAAACGGGATTAATTCACAGGAGGCAGGGGATTAATTGTGTATGTCTGTGGATGTCTGTCCACGTGTATCCGGACACCCGGATATATATAACAAATGCGCTCCTAGTGGGCATTACTGGTAGGAAACGTAGTGGACTGGAAGCCCAACCGGGATTATTCACAGGAGGCAGGGGATTAATACAAATATCCGTACATAATTACTTCAAAATTTCCTACCAGCCCCCTCCGCAGGAATGTGTTCCAACACACAACGGTGATGATGGACAACTTCAGAGATTTTGATTTAAAGCTTTCGTGCCTGCAGTAATTCATATTCTTAGTTCTTTCGGTAAAGTCACGTTGAAGGGAAACAACAAAATAATAAAATATATATTATATATATATATCCCTTCAACGTGACTTTACCGAAAGAACTAAGAATATGAACTTCAGAGATACCAATATGTAACACGATATTGATTTGAGGCTTTCGTGACTGCAGCAATGCATACTCTTTGGTTCTTTCTGTAAAGTCACGTGGTAGGTAGAAAAAATAATAATTGATCACGACGTTTCGATCGCAACACAAGCGACCGTCATCAGGTGAGACATTCAGAAGGTAAACTGCTGAAAGAGGTCCGATTTTTTAAAATATTTTTTTTACCTACGTGATGTTACCAAAACAAGCAATGAGTACGATGTAACACAATTTTGTTCCTGGGAAGTAAGTGTTATTTCTTAATTGCTTATGCCTTAAAAGGTATAGAAAGTGGCTATTATTCCGCGCAAATTTTGCCTTTTTGGCAGTGATATTTAGCAATTTACCTACTTACAATGAGAAAACTGGCGTATCTGTGTCTTTTCGTTCACCCAAAGTTAGAAAAATAACCCAACATATTAATCAAATTTAGCATGTATTCATACTTTTTAGGCAGTAAAACCTTGGATTGTGAGTAACTTGGACTGCGAGTAAAGTCACGTAGGTAAAGAAAAAATATATATAAATAAATTAAATCAATACGTTTTAATTGCAACATAAGCAATCATCATCAGGTGCGAAAATCACAGCTAAATGTTCGTTTACTAAAGTAGTAAAAAATTGTTTTTTTTGCTAAAGTAGTAAAAAATTGTTTTTTTTACTAAAGTAGTAAAAAATAGTTTTTTTACTAAAGTAGTAAAAAATAGTTTTTTACTAAAGTAGTACAAAAATTTGTTTACTAAAGTAGGAAAAACATATTCTTGGTTCTTTCGGTAAAGTCACGTACAATATTATTGTTTCCCTTCTACGTGACTTTACCGAAAGAACCAAGAATATGAACAATAATATTGTTTCCCTTCTACGTGACTTTACCGAAAGAACCAAGAATATGAATCCCTGCAGTCACGAAAGCTTTAAATAAAAATAGTAAAAACACGTTTGTTTTCTAAATAGTAAAAAAAAATGTTTGTTTACTAAAGTAGTAAAATTTTTTTTTACTAAAGTAGCAAAAATTTCTAGCTGTGATTTTCACACCTCGTGATGATGATTGCTTGTGTTGCAATCGAAACGTCGTGATTTCATTTTTTCTTTCATTTAATTTTGTCTTTACCCACGTGACTTTACCGAAAGAACTAAAGCGTATGGATCCTAGATTTAAAGCTTTCGTGACTGCTAGGATCCATACTCTTTGGTTCTATTGGGTAAAGTCACGTAGGTGAAAATAAAATAACAAATTTTTTTTTTACAAAAAATTACGACGTTTCGGCCACAACACAAGCGGCCTTCATCAGTGATCACGAAGGTCGTGATCTGAGCGTGGCTTCTTCCACTCCAGCGCTGTCCTCCAGACAGTCTCGTCCCTTCACCTGATGAAGGCCGCTTGTGTTGTGGCCGAAACGTCGTGATTTTTTGTTAAATTTTTGTAAAAAAAATTTTTGTTATTTTATTTTCACCTACGTGACTTTACCCAATAGAACCAAAGAGTAGAGTATGGATCCTTGCAGTCACGAAAACTTCAAATCTAGAATGGGAATTTTTTTTAAAAAAAAAAATATTAATTTGATAAACGCTTTGTACTGCCGAGCGTCACGTGAGCACAACTTATTGTAGGAGCGCTGTGGATTATAAACACGTTTGCCGGAACGAATTATTGCACGCTATCCCAAGGTTTTACTGGGTAAGCAATTGCGAAGTAACACTTACTAACTAACCAGTAACACGAATAGTGTTACATAGTGTTACATCATCATTCCCAACCAACCCCCCACCGCGGCCTCACCTGTTGATGCGTCTCCGATCACCCAACGTGTGAACACCGCCACCACCACCTGCATCACCTGCATCACCTACCACGCTGCAAAGTCGCTTCATGGTTGATGATGATGATGGTGGTGGTGGTGACGATCGGCGTTTGAGTGTTAGAGCGATGGTGTTGTCATCGATGTCTCTCTCTCTGCAGCCGCTACTGCCGCTGATGAGGATGATACCGCTGTTCATAATGAGTCACCCAGCGCGTGCGCGGTGTGGGTGGTGACGTCACCCGGTAGGACGAGTCACCCAGCGCATGCGCGGTGTGCGTGGTGACGTCACCCGGTAGGATGAGTCACCCAGCGTGTGCGCGGTGTGCGTGGTGACGTCACCCGGTAGGATGAGTCACCCAGCGCGTGCGCTGGCATGTGTGGTGACGTCATCCGGTAGGACGACACGCCTGGCTCCTCCCCCTTCTCTACCTATATAACCCCTGACCACACGCATCTCTCTCCCACTTCAGCTCAAATGTTCTCGCTGTGGTTGTCCCCCCTTATTATGATGACGGCCGCTTGCGTTGCAATCGAAACGTCGTGATTTGATTTGTTTTATTTTTCTACCGACGTGATGACTTTACCGACTGAGCCAAAGATCCCTGCAGTCACGAAAACTTCAAATCTCGATTGTGTTTTTTTGAAGTTTGCGTCTCTCTCTCTTTCTCTCCCCGTGGTCGCGTGGATTTTTTTGCCTCCAGGTTCTCCGTTTTATTCCCCGGCATCACGATAATAATACCACATGGTCTACCCTACAGCACTTATAAAAGACGTACAAATAGCTAATTTAGCCTCTCTGGCAAGAAAACAAGAGGTATTAAGATGTTCAAACACCAAATAGGTAATTTCTTTTGCACGGAATCAAATTTACTCAGGGGCGGAGCCACAGGGGGGGATGTGGGGGGGGCTCAGCCCCCCCTGAAATTTTGGGAAAGTCGGTCATCGGGATAACCGGATATCCGGCTGCTGCAAAATGCTGCAGGCTGCCACCTCGTGCTGCCCTGCAAGCTGCCACCTCGTGCTGCCCTGCAGGCTGCCACCTCGTGCTGCCCTGCAGGCTGTCACCTTGTGCTGTCACCTCGTGCTGCCACCTCGTGTACTGTCACCTCGTGCTGCCCTGCAGGCTGCCACCTCGTGCTGCCCTGCAGGCTGCCACCTTGTGCTGCCCTGCAGGCTGCCACCTTGTGCTGCCCTGCAGGCTGCCACCTCGTGCTGCCCTGCAGGCTGCCACCTCGTGCTGCCCTGCAGGCTGCCACCTTGTGCTGCCCTGCAGGCTGTCACCTTGTGCTGCCCTGCAGGCTGCCACCTTGTGCTGCCCTGCAGGCTGCCACCTCGTGCTGCCCTGCAGGCTGCCACCTCGTGCTGCCCTGCAGGCTGCCACTTGTGTGCTGCCCTGCAGGCTGCCACCTCGTGCTACCCTGCAGGCTGCCACCTTGTGTGCTGCCCTGCAGGCTGCCACCTCGTGCTGCCCTGCAGGCTGTCACCTTGTGTGCTGCCCTGCAGGCTGCCACCTTGTGCTGCCCTGCAGGCTGCTACCTTGTGTGCTGCCCTGCAGGCTGCCACCTTGTGCTGCCCTGCAGGCTGCCACCTCGTGTGCTGCCACCTCGTGCTGCCCTGCAGGCTGCCACCTTGTGCTGCCCTGCAGGCTGCCACCTCGTGCTGCCCTGCAGGCTGCCACCTTGTGTGCTGCCCTGCAGGCTGCCACCTTGTGTGCTGCCCTGCAGGCTGCCACCTCGTGCTGCCCTGCAGGCTGCCACCTTGTGTGCTGCCCTGCAGGCTGCCACCTTGTGCTGCCCTGCAGGCTGCCACCTTGTGCTGCCCTGCAGGCTGTCACCTTGTGTGCTGCCCTGCAGGCTGCCACCTTGTGTGCTGCCCTGCAGGCTGCCACCTCGTGCTGCCCTGCAGGCTGCTTGAGCGGCAGCCTTTCGAACTTATCGAACTTATTAGCCACGTCGGCGGCTCCGACCTATTAATAAACTCCGCGTTCAAATCCAATAAAATGTGTTTTATACATTTGTGGCGCCCATTGTAAAACATAAACACGCTGAGATATCTCAGAATATTGAAGTCAGCAACCCCCCAAAGTCAAAATCCTGGCTCCGCCCCTGAGTTTAATCCATTAGCCACACACGGCACTTGTAGTGACCAAGCAAAAACATTGCTCTGACAATAACCTATGGTGCATTGTCTTTTAAACTGATTGGCCTACAACCAGAGGCAGCAGGAGAAGCCTTCTTCTTTGGTTCTTTCGGTAAAGTCACGTAGAATGAGAATAAAATAATAAATTGATAAAATAAAATAACACAATTTTATTTAATGAATTTATTATTTTATTCTAACACAATTTTATTTTATCAATTTATTATTTTATTCTCATTCTACGTGGTGACTTTACCGAAAGAACCAAAGAAGATGAATCCTTGCAGTCACGAAAGCTTTAAATCGAAAATGAGAAGCCTTCTTTATGGTCCTCCGCTAGTATCTATTTGTTGTTTGAACATCTTAATACCCCCGTGTTTTCGTGCCAGAAAGAGTAAAACCTATTCTTAGGGGCCGTCCATAAATGACGTCACGCGATTTTGGACGATTTTTGACCCCCCCCCCTCGTCACACGACGTCACAAAAAGTCAGACCCCCCCCCTCAAATATGACGTCATAAAGCTCTGCCCCCCCCCCCCAAAAAAAAACATATTTAAATTTTTAAAATAAAACATGCTTCAAATCGCTTTAAAGTATTGTCATTGTAGTGCGTATTTAATGTGGCGCTGCACTCTGATGCTGTAGGAGAAAACATTTATTTAAAAAGTCTATTTAATTAAGTAGAACGTTGATTTAAAGCTTTCGTGACTGCAGTAATTCATATTCTTAGCTCTTTCGGTAAAGTCACGTTGAAGGGAAACAATAAAATAATAAAAAATATATAAAACAATTAAAATTCTCACGACGTTTCCACCATAACACAAACGGTCATCATCAGGTGTGAAAACCAACGGCAAGAAACATTTTAAAGAAGTGGCGGCCCGCATTTATTAATTTATTAAAAAAGATGTCTTTATTTATTTTTTAAAAAACGTTAGCACCACGGGCAGCGATTTGGCTGTTTGTTTAGAAGGACGAGTCCATCGTCCTTCTAGAAAAAAAATCGCTTTAAATCGCTCTAAACAAACAGTCAAATCGCTGCCCGTGGTGCTAACGTTTTTAAAAAAATAAACACATTTTAAAAAAGAAATAAATAAATGCAAACCGCGACTTCTTTCAAATGTTTCTTGCCGTTGGTGTTCACACCTGATGATGGTGTTGCAGTCGAAACGTCGTGAGAATTTTTTACTGTTTTATATATATTTTATTATTTTATTGTTTCCCTTCAACGTGACTTTACCGAAAGAGCTAAGAATATAAGTAGAACGTGTTGTCTATATTTAATTACAGTTGCACAATTTGATGTGACGTCACATTTCTCACCCCCCCCCGTCCCCCTCGTCACACATCGTCACAAATGTCTGACCCCCCCCCCCCCAGGTGCGTGACGTCATTTATGGACGGCCCCTTAGTTTTCAAACTTTGATGAAAAAAAAATGTTATCCCATGACATAGCTGCTCACCCCGAGTTATAAACGCTCCTCCAGTTGTTTTTTCCTCCATCACGATAATAATTATACTAAACGGTTTAACAGTTTATGGAAGAAAAGTGGTCATTTGCCCCTTTTCTGGCAGGAAAACAGGCGGTATTAAGATGTTCAAACACCAACTAGATGATACCTTTGAGGCCGTCCATAAATGACGTCACGCACCTGGGGGTGGGGTCAGACATTTGTGACGATGTGTGGCGAGGGGGGGAGCGGGGTTTGAGCAAGGTGACGTCACATCAAAATCCGTAACTTTAAATAAATATAGAAAACACGTTCTACTTAATTAAATAGACTTTAAATTTTGATTTAAAGCTTTCGTGACTGCAGTAATTCATATTCTTAGTTTTTTCGGTAAAGTCACGTTGAAGAGAAACAACAAAATAACAAAATATATATAAAACAATAAAAAATTCTCACGACGTTTCGACCATAACTCAAACGGTCATCATCAGGTGTGGCGGTTTGCATTAATTTATTTTGAAAACGGCATATTTATTTATTTATATATATAAAAAAATAACGTTTGCGTCACGCGCAACGATGGCAGTTTGCCCAGGACTAGTCCATCTATTTTTGAAAAGAGGAGGGGGGAGACGAAATTTGTTTTTATGTATGCTGTCTGAAAGCCACTGTAAGCGTGAACAATCAATCAAGAAGTGAAATGATTTATCAAATCTTTCCAATGATTGCTAAGATAGAATCCATCTTCTCGGTTGAAATTGTCTCTGTGTTTGTATATGTGGATAGCCTCATGAACGAATCTCTCATGGAAGCCAGATGGCTTACAAAGAACCTCCGTCTTGGAAAAGTCAATGGCATGTGAGCCTACTGAATTAGAACAATGATCTGCTACGGCCGAGGTGTTGGTCCTACCGTGTTTAAGGTCTGCTTCACGTGATCTGGTTCCGTCTGTAAAAGATGTGATTCCGGACATACAATACCCTGGTGTCTACAAACTAAGTTGCCTCTGTGGTAGTAGTTACATTGGAGAAACCAAACGCCATATCTCGGACCGCATTCGTGAACATAAAGCAGACCTTAAACACGGTAGGACCAACACCTCGGCCGTAGCAGATCATTGTTCTAATTCAGTAGGCTCACATGCCATTGACTTTTCCAAGACGGAGGTTCTTTGTAAGCCATCTGGCTTCCATGAGAGATTCGTTCATGAGGCTAACCACATATACAAACACAGAGACAATTTCAACCGAGAAGATGGATTCTATCTTAGCAATCATTGGAAAGATTTGATAAATCATTTCACTTCTTGATTGATTGTTCACGCTTACAGTGGCTTTCAGACAGCATACATAAAAACAAATTTCGTCTCCCCCCTCCTCTTTTCAAAAAATAGATGGACTAGTCCTGGGCAAACTGCCATCGTTGCGCGTGACGCAAACGTTATTTTTTTATATATATAAATAAATAAATATGCCGTTTTCAAAATAAATTTATGCAAACCGCCACACCTGATGATGACCGTTTGAGTTATGGTCGAAACGTCGTGAGAATTTTTTATTGTTTTATATATATTTTGTTATTTTGTTGTTTCTCTTCAACGTGACTTTACCGAAAAAACTAAGAATATAAATAGACTTTGTTAATAAATGTTTTCTCCTACAACAGCAGAGTGCAGCACCACATTAAATACGCACTACAATGACAACAATAGTTCAAAGCGATTTGAAGTATGTTTTACTTTTAAAATGGAAATATGTTTTTTTTGGGGGGGGGGGCAGAGCTTTGTGACGTCATATTTGAGGGGGGGGGGGGCGGGGGTCAAAAATCGTCCAAAATCGCCCGACGTCATTCATGGACGTCCCCATAGCTGCTCACTTATAAACGCTCTGAT